GATAGATTAAGGAAGCCATAGAAATAAGGAGAAGTGGACACGGATCCATAACAGAGACGATGGGGTCAACACTTTGGATCACGCATGGGATTGTGTCATCAGCGCGGAGAGCGCGGGCAGCAGAGGGCGACACCGTGTTTTGCTGCCCGTGGATAAACGGAGAAGGAAGTGACGCTGCTAACAACGGCAAGCTCTGAAGAAAACTGTAGGGGTAGTCGAAACGTCAATAAAAAAGGAGGTGAAAAACCTCTTCTGTGTGTTAAAAAAGAACCAAGTCATTCAGTTAGAAGAAACGCACAATGAATGCCCAAAAGATGTCTTCTTGTGTGTGGACTTCTGAAATCTCACGTGGTGTTGCAATTCTCGCGTGGTTTTGTGACTTCACGAGATCAGCTGTGTGGAACCCTTTCACCCCAGTTTCTCTTCAGAATGCTTCAGGTTGGGAATGAGCTTGTGGGTAGAATGCCGTTATTATATGAGACCACTTTCACGGCCGGTGGAAAGCCGGGGTAATGTTCATGCAGACCTTTGACAGAATTGAATATTTGGTCTTAAAACTGTTTTAACTAAGAAATTTAAAGATGGATGACAATTTTTTTTCTCTATATTCCCATAGGAATTTGTTTTGAGAGGATAAGATGATGTGAGAAAAGAGGAAGTAGCACCTGGTTTTAGAGGTGAGAGGAGGGTTGGCAGAGAAGCTCTGTGGATGGAAAAAGAGACCGTGTGAAGAAGGCTAGTCAGGAGGGGAGAGGACATGAATATAATACAACATTTTTGCAAGTCAAAAGATTGGTTTGTTTATTCAGAAGTGCTCCTATTTCCTGTTGTTGATGACGTATTGAACAACCTTAGCTGGTGAAATGGAGATGACTTCTCATTAGGGGTGTGTATTGGCAACGATCTGGCGATATATTTATCACAATACAGGTGAGACGATACGTATTGCAATAATTAACGCCAAACATATTTGCAACTTTTAAGACCGAATTTAAATGGAAAATTCAGATCAAGCGCTTCCAAGACACATCTAGAGTTGCTGCGAGGTTTTGTTGTTGCGTTAGAACACATATGTCAGACACAAGGCCCGCGGGCCAGATGCGGCCCGTGGAGCATTTTTATGTGGCCCACAAGATAAATATCAAAAATATATTTAAACTGGCCCGCTGGCCGATTTTACCGCAAAGACTTAAACTCCCATGATGCTTTGCGGCATCAGCGCAGAGCCGAAACACCCCCTTCTTTGTGTTTTTTCCAGCGCCTGCTGCCGGTGTCTGCAGCTCCGCTGTTTCGGACAATCTAAACACTCCTCTCACTCAGCGCTAGGGTTGTCACGATACTAAAATTTCAAACTCGATTCGATACTTGAAAAAAAACTTGATACTCGATTTTGATACTATTTAAAACTCCAATTTATTGAACAAGTTTATTCAAAAAATAACATTCCTCAATTTATATTGCAAAAAAAATGTTAAGAATTAAGTGTATAAAGTGCTTAAACCTTTCAAGTATCAGCATTTTTTAAAACGTGCATACAAAAACTGGCGAAAGTTAACACTTTAAGTCATGAATTGTCTCACTATATATACACTATTTGCAGAGTGATGTTTTGCTGCTTAAACTCTGTTTAAGGTGCATTTTTGTCATAAGATGTAATGCCATATGTTTTGTTCTGTACTTTTGAACAACTCTGTTGGTCAATAAAGGGAGAAAACAAATTTATCCACAGTTGGACAAAGGTACATCTACCGGTAATCTTAATAAAAACAGATTGGCGCACGGCAGTGACGTCATTAAAAGCACCGGTTAATTAGCCGCGGCTAGTCTGTTTACGCCTAGAAATCCCAGACCCGCTCCAAACGAACAGGGGAATCACGTTAATGATTCCTAACAAAACCTTTCGACATGAAGATGTTTTGGTGCAGATAATGTCTGATTTCGAGGCTGCACCATGGGTGCACGTCCGCACCCGTTATATGGATGTACACTGACGGCGATTCGCCGATGGATCTAAATACCCCGGGGAATCCAAGTAGCACCAAAGTTGTCAGCGTGAGTAAACAAACGTACTTGATGCTAACGGACTTGGTATGCTAATTAAGTTGGGCTGTGAAGCGCCTCCCAAATTCGCAGTTTATGTTTTTGTTTATTTATTTGGCAGACAAAAGTTTGATCAGAGACAACTCGCATGGGAAATTGCAATGTAGCCATGCGGCGTCTTCTTTGTTTGTCTGGGAGGCGGAGGTTGCTTTACGGCATCTGGCTGTCGTGCGTGTCGGTGTACTTGAAGAAGGCTGTGTATAATAGTCCATGATATCGATACCACAGGGATGGAATATCTAATTTAGATACCACTTTTAGCATAGATTTATATCTAGGTATCGATTTTTTTGACAACACTACTCAGCGGCGAGTTCACTCAGCTATTTTTTCACGTTGAAGCCCAGAAACGGAGATTCTAGCCGCTTAGTAATGTGTTCACGACTGAAAGTTTTCCAACTAACGTCCAGACAGAGCACCTGTCCAGCTCTGTATAACTCCAGTGAACAGCAACACGCTCAAACCAGCATGACTCTGTGGCTGCTGTCGTTGTGTTTCCTCCCCGACACACAACAACGTGGTCAAGCTGCTCAGACATGTTCATCAGCACAAACCTATGTGAGCACCTGTTGTCATCTAATGTTGTCATTGTTATGATGAAGATGAACAAAACAACAGGAGTCTCCTCCTCAGCTCAGATCAACCCCATGATGCAGGTATCTGGCTGGAACAGGTGAGCATCACAGTAAACCAGTGGAGCAAACTGAGCTTTAAATATGTTGGTTTTATGCTCTTTTTCTGCTCCAAAACATGAAAGTTAACAGGTGAGATGTTGCATTTTCATTTAAGATAAAATTATATTTTTATTTTGTTGTTGGCACGTGAGAAAAGATTTAACCTACAGTAAACAGGAAGTGGAAAGGCTGCAGATAGATGAATAGAATAGAAAATCCCTTTATTGTTCCTCAGTGGGGAAAGCTAGATGTCACAGCAGCGATGACACGTATTACAGGAGAAAAAAAGGAGAATAAAAATAAGAAAAATGAATAAACAAGAAAACATAAATCCTGAATAGATTTATAAAATGCTGATTATACCACAAGTAATGAATACCACTGATGCCTTTTATTTAAAACTGACTTGCTCGTGTGTAATTTGGTTATTCCACATTCAGTGTTAATGCAGAAATAAGTTTGTTTCCTAATTTAAAGGTTCAAAATTGCATATATGTTAATAAAGAAAATTTGCCGTCACTTTTTCAAAAAATATTAAGTTTGGCCCTCGACTCCGTCCCACAGTTTCATTTCGGCCCCGTGTGAGTTTGAGTTTGACACCCCTGCGTCAGAATGAAGAGAGTAAAAACTGCTGCCACCTAGCAGTTGGAGTTTGAATTGCACCACACAAAAAATACAGCAGTTTTTTGCATTAAAATGACACTAAACTGATACACATATATCAGTTCAGTATAATAATATGAAATATCGCAATTTTTCAGTGTATCGATTTTTTTCTTATTAAAGAAGTATGTTGGATATCAAATTAAACAAACCATTGGAATTAGAATTAATATAAAGTGATTTTCTATTTTCTTATAATGTAAGTAATTTATTAGTCAGACAAAAACCTTCCAACCAGCCAGAACTCGTTTTATCTTCACATTTCATTCACACTAGAAAAGTTTCCTGACATTAAATGTGAGTGAACTTTTATCTCTATAAACTGTAACCCTCTGATGGTCATTCGGTGCTCTGGGACAGGTCCAGAGGAGTGATGGAGAAACTCTGTGAGTGTGACATGTCTAGAGGGAGGAGACGGGGAGGATGGAGGGAAGACGTGAGAAAGGATAGAGGGAGAAGAGCAGAGGAAGGAAAATAGGAGTCAGTGGTGCATTGCAGTGTTCATCACCTCACCCTAGACAACACATTTTTGCACTACATAGTAATTTTTTTAAAAGCATTAATTTTATTTCTAAGAAAGAAGCCTGACGTTTTTTTTAACATCAATTGTAAAATGTTGTATATTCAGGATCAATAGTTAATTACTGAAGATGGATGAAGTTGGGGTCAAAGTGTGTGAATTAATGTGGTTATTTACATTCCTCCCGTGTGGAAATACAAGCAGCATGTTTGTGAATTCTGATGGTGTTGTTGTTGGATCTCCAGGCTGACAGGCTGAGACGGAGATACCTTTTCCCCCAGGGGGGAGTGTCCTGTCTGGGGGAGAGACCACACGACCATCTGGGCCCTTCTGGTGCCTGTGGAGCTTCTGCTGCACTGAAAATCAGTTGTGAAACAGTTCATCTCCACTCTGCAGGAGTGCCCTTTAGCAAAACGTTCACACAGCACAGAGAGCCTGAGCTGCTGCGGATGTTTAACTCCCATCTACAGGTTTTATTTTGTCATAAATGCAGGTTTTTCTGACTACTTTTTGCAGATGATCACTCATGTTTTTTCCTAATAAGACAAAAGAGTGCTGCAAAACTGCAAAACCAGGTAATCTGTTAACAGAAACCTCTAAAAGGACTTCCTTTGGCTACAGGAAGAACAGAGTTCTGCAACAGATGGTTTGGCCCAAACTCGGGACCATGGAGTCGGATTGGGATTGCATAAAGCGAGACAACACAGAGAGATGAAGTTAATCCACTAACCTGTCACGCAAACTGAGAAATTAAGAGAAGTTTGTTACTGATGTGTGTTTTCAGGGTTCGTTCACACATTTTGTAGGAGTTTGCATGCATACGGTTTATAAAAGTTTCCTGTTCAGCATCATCTGTCATGACTGATAAAATATCAGCTGAAGCACATTTACTGTGAATTTCTAGGTTATTGCTTTAGTTTTTTCTGGAGAGTCAGTGTAATTTTTATAACTTTGGTAATAACATCCAATATTTTCCTGTGACTCACTTGTACAGATTTGTAAATGATTGTTTATTTCTTTTTTGGTGTGTGCTTTTATGTCAGGAGGGACCAGGGACATCGGCTCGGCTCTCACCAGGATGTGCATGAGGCATCGTAGCATCGAGGCCAAACTCCGACAGTTCTCTTTGTGAGTAGACCTGCGTGTGGCACAGGTCTAGCTTCCCCGCCTTTAACTTATTTTAGAGGTTTCCTCCTTGGTGTTTGAATCAGTCTTAAAACAGTTTTTGTACTTTTCCTCTTCCGTCTTTGTTTTCTTTTGTTTTTCTTCTCCCTTTGCTTGTTGCCATGGCAACATGCAGCTTCATTTCCTTTCATCTTCTATAAATGCCCTAGGAAATTTTTCTTTTTAAGTGTGAATCCAAGGTTTTTGGGTCTGTTTGCGGTTTTCTCTGCTTATTTGCAATTTTTCGAGCCTCAGATTTTGATTGGATAATCATTTATTCTCATTTTTAGCCATAAAACAAAGTTTGATACACATATTTTATAGATAAAATTGTAAAGTTTACAGCAGAGTTGGCAGTTATTGGAAAGGACTCAGCTTTATAATAAGAGAAAAAACAGCTTTGTCAAAAAACAAAGATTAAAAAAAGGGTAGGTCTGAGTTTGCAAAACTAACAATGCAGCTTTGTAACGTATGGAAGCACATTCCCGACACTCCGATAAAAAAAAATTATATTCTAATTATGCCTTAGCTGTTGCTTTATAATGACATAGTATCTCATTATTATGAGATAGGCAAGTCACAATTATGATATTTTTTTTCCAGAGTGGCGGGAATGGGTGTCCATACATCACATTCTCAGACACCCCTGAACTAAATGTTGTTTTTGCCTTTTCCCTCCTAAAATAACTTAAGAGTGTTTGTGTTCTCCAGGGTGTTTCTCGACTGCCTGATCAACCCTCTCCAGGAGCAGATGGAGGAGTGGAAGAGAGCGGCCAACACTCTGGACAAAGACCACGCCAAAGGTACACACACACACACACACACACACACACACACACACACACACACACACACACACACACACACACACACACACACACACACACACACAAAGCATTTACAAATAAATAAACCCTATGTGTAGGTTTCTATTTGAAGTTATTAGATTTATTGCATGTTCTATGTAATTGCACACGTGTGCTGCTCTGCAGAGTATAAGAAAGCTCGTCAGGAGATCAAAAAGAGATCATCCGACACACTGAAGCTGCAGAAAAAAGCAAAGAAAGGTTTGTGTTCTCGGTCCTGTTAGCTTAATTTTCTATTCGCATAATAAATAAAAACAATAACAATGTTTTTTTGTTGTTGTTTTTTTTTCTTGCAAAATCCTCCCCTCTTGTATTTTCCCATCATGCTAAACTTTGCTCAGCTGATGTATTTGGTAAGTTTGCACCAACAAACCTTCACTCTCCTTAATGCCAGTTGCAGACGCAGTATTCAGTGTCTTCACGTGTCGTTTAATCTGTGAATGGGCTTTTAACTCACTTTAACAATATTACAGTAGGAGCAGGTGAAGAGATTCAAATAAAGCAACAACGAATTTGAATCAGACATTCCATGCCCAAATGCTGTCACCAACATCTCCAGAGCCCAACCATAGCTGCTATAAATGGCATCCATCCCACTTTGTTCAGGAAACATTTGTTTCCATGCTGTTCAGAAGATTGTATGACTCACAAAACCAAACACCTGAACACAACAAAGACCAGTCACACACTAAAGAATTTTAGGGAGAAAAAAATACATTTTCTCAATTAGATATCACACAATGTTGTAACTGTGTGACACAAACACAACAAAACTAATGGCATCAGATCCTACTGGAAAATTCAAGCTATTTCAGAAAACATTGGATTTACCAAAAGTTCAGCGCCTCTGCAGCTGCATAGAGTTGATGCGTCAGAGGGAATGTAATGTGGGTATGAAAGCATAATGAAAGTTATTTTTTCAGTAAATGACTAATTAAAGCCTCTGTCAGGACATTTCTTATGCCCTTTTACCTGCATTGAAACACACTGTCTTATAGCTGAAGTCAAAAACAATTTTTCTTCTCTTAATCCTGGTGAAGTTGAGAGTGTGCAATAAAACTTTTGTTCGGACATCTGTGCAACCTTTATTACGTTTAGCTTTAGCATCTTATCAGCTGTAATTTGTGAGATGGAAATTTCAAAGACAGGAAAACACCTTTTTAAATTAAATCCTAAAGGTAGTTCAAACAAGGTGTCAAAGTCATACAGGAGTTCCACATGGGTGTTTGTTTGGGACTTATTTTTTCTTTTTTGGTTTAAATAAAAAATATACTTGCGTATGTTCAGTCTAACCCCGGGTTTCCACCGGAGCCGTCAGCAGCACGTTACTGCAGCAGCACGTCTGGCTCGCGTTAACTGCTGCTTGGCCCTTCCCTCGAGACGCGAAGCAGCAGGGGAGCAGCGGTCACCGACAGAGCACGAAGTCACACGAGTGACTTCGTCAGTAAACACAACAAGAACAAGCAGGAGAAAATTACAACATGGTTTGTGTTTTATGTTCTGTCCGTTTTATAATCGCCAATACGGACCTGAAAAACAAAGGAGACCGCTAGCTAGGTGATAACTTCTCACGGGGCCGCACAGTTAGTAACTTTTTTTAAAGTAAAGCAACCGGAAGGCAGTACGTTTCTTTATTCTGAAAATCTCGGGAGGTTCTCTCCATTTCCGCGTCTCATTTCCTGTCTTTCCTTCCCCCAAAATGTCAAACTTGACCCGTTTCAGAGGCGTCGCGTGTAGAAAATAGAACCGGCGCGTAAAGGCCGCGACATGCTGCTACTGAGACGCGGCCGACTCGCGCTGCTGACGGCTCCGGTGGAAAAGGTTCTGTTGACCACAGCGGTTCCTATCAGCAGCTATGACGTGCTGCTGACGGCTCCTGTGGAAAGCCGGGGTAAGGCTATGCCAAGAACAACGATTATAAATTATTTTAGTTTTAGAAAATCTTGTGGTTTTATCATTCACTTGACTAGAACTCCGTTAAGATTGTTTCCTGTCAGGTTATTTGAAGTTTAATTTTGAAAAACACTCCCAGGACACTTAACTTGTCATTACTTTACACGACTTTTGGGCTTTTTAGATTTGTCCCACATTGTGAAATAGTGCCTGCCAATTTATTTATTTTCTGTCGATCCAGATTATTACAAAACCCTTGAATACTTACTTTCTCATTTTGACCCAGTTATCAGACGACACCTGGTGAGTTGCCAGATTGAAGAAAAAAATTTTAAAGTTGCTTTTCAAACAACTAGACTGAATTGTGACACTAAAGTGAGATGTATTATGACTGAAAAAAAAAGCTTTTTGTTGCTACTAACAAAAGATTTGTTGGCTTCAAGCTTTGAACTCAACTCTTACAACAGAAGAAACTGGACCTTTGATTGACCCCTGAGGAACCTCAGATGTGGTCACGTTGCTTTATCCCTCCTAGCCTGTTATTAGTACACATGAGGAAACTCCCTTTGCACTGGTTTTGAATGTCACTAGAGGAGAGAGAGAGAGCATAGTTTCAAGCCAGGAACGTAGAATGAGGAACTGTAGTAGTTTTAAAGGTCAAGAGGCCACCTGTAACATTGGTATTGAACTGAAGTGTAGTCCGTCTGTCCTACATGTGAACTGCAAAGGAATTGTTTGTGCAGCTGGTTCCAAGTAAAGCTAAGTACATTTGATTACAAGAACTAACCCTTTACAGAACTTAGATGGAAGGAAATAAACGTATTAGGAGCGGGACACTTGTTAAAAATCTAGATAAACTTATTTCATGTAAGCGGAAATAAGGTGAAATCCCATTAAACTGGAAGGACTTGGACCTATTGCTGCATTTCCAGTAGTCAAAACCTATGAAGAAAAATTGCACTATAGCAAAAAGCTAAAATAGCATTTTGATCTTCTGAATTTTGTAAAAAAGTAAAAAAAAATAAATAAATAAGAAGGAGAAAAGGTAAATAATCTGCTTTAGGCTCCACATTCTCCATCTGATTTTCACGTCTCCCTCTCTTTATCCCTGAAACATCTGCAAAGTTTCTCTCCCTCTCCCTCCCTCCCTTCTCAAACTGTCCACAGAATCTGGCCTGGGATCCTCGCTGGAGAAACTTTTAATTGCATGTTTACATCTCAAGTAATGATGGTGGGATTGATAAACGATTGGGGTGAAGAAAAAGAAAAAAACCTGAAACATCAGAGCATTTATTGGGGTTTTTTTTGGGGGGGGGGGGGGGGGGGTGTAATTGGTTGTGAGAAATTAAATTAGTGGCTTGAATGTGATGTGGTTGCAAACAACTTTGTCTTTTTGGCCTGAAGGAAACTTGTAGTCAACAAAGCCGTAAAAAGACTGAGAGCAACACAGTTAGTTTACACAAGGAGGCTTCCAATAGATTTCATGTAAATGAACCGCTTAACTCATTCACTGCCAGCCGTTTCCTGATCACTAACGGCCTTCACTGCCTGCGTTTCTCACAGTTTTTACAGTTTTTTTAAGAGTCACAGGACGTTGCGCACTTGCATGATGTCGATACCAAAACAACCAAAACAAAGAGGAGACACCTCTTACATCAGGAAGAAGCCGCGTGTTTCGAGCGTTATCCGTTCTTTCATAATCCGTTGTCGAATTGTGATCGGCAGACGCTTTTCCGGTTCGCGCCTCACTTTTTTTACAGGAACGGCCCAAAACGATCTCCTAACACATGGATGTGTTGCTTCCTGATCATGTGATCTGTGACGTATGCGGATGAAGATCGGTTTCAGGGCTGAGATGTTTGTTCTCTCAGCGCGGGGACTCGTTCCGATGCTCAAACAGTAAAAAAATGCAAATGACGACTTCAGTCGTCATTGGCAGTGAATGAGTTAAAGACTCATCAAAACCCATAGCCAGTCCTATACATGTCTACTGCCCCCTAGTGGTTGGATCTACAGTTGGCAAGGGCCAATTTTATTTGTCCAACACTTTTATGTTGTTGTGAAATGACAATAAAATAAAACTGATTATTATATAATTGCTTTATCAACATTATACAATACGTAGTTCTGTTTTTAAAACACTTTTTAAAATTTATTGAGAAAATTTACACAACCAAGGCATTAATGGTGTAGTTTGTTCACTATAGATGAGCAGTGATGGTGCAGTTTGCAGCACTGTTGCCTCACAGCAAGAAGGTTACAGGTTCAGATCAGGTTAGCATGTTCTTCCCATGCATGCATGTCCGGTTTCCTCCCACAAACCAAGAAAACACTCATTTAGGTACTTGAAGGTACTTGTAAGTCGCTTTGGATGAGTGTATCTGATAAATAAACATATACTGCAAAGTAAAAAAGTAAGTAAATTAAGTTTTTAGTCTAATAAGTCATGTTTTAGCAGATAAGAACATTTCTTTTTTCTTTGACAAAATAACATAAATGCCTAAAAACCTTATTGAAAATCATTGGCGGTGTAACATTAGCTACGTTTACATGTGCACAAGTAATCGGAATAAACGCCCTATCAGATAAAATTCTTCCTGTAAACATGTCAATCGGAATATTCTGATCCGATACAGCCTCTCTCAAATGGAATAGCATTTCAAGAGGTGGTTTTGTCTGATCGTCATTCCGATTGACGTCCATGTACACACCCATCCTGATTGTTGTATTAAAACAGTGCCCACTGCGCCTGTCTGCAACTTTAGCGTGACGTCTTTCCGCCTTTGCTGATGCTCAGGACAAGTGGAAAACATGGCGGGTGGTAAACGGAAGTAATCTGTTGCAGACACAATGTTTTTTTACTGGAAACACATCGGGAGCTCAAAAAGCTCAGGTATAAATGCAAAGAAAGTCCATAATGGGGAAAAAATATATATAAGTCAATGGGGCAAAGCAAGAGAATAAGAAAATAAAATGAGAGGGAAAAGACGTGCAGACAAGATGGCGTTTGTTTACAATTTTCTGTTCCGGGAAAGACAACTCTGCCCATGCTCAACCGATTTATTCTGATTGAATGCTTGGTGTACGAAAACCCGCGGCATGATTGCTTCATTTCAGTTAGTGTCTATGTAAACAGAAATTTGGATTTTCGATCAACCAAGATTCCAACCGGATGAGGGAAAATTTGGTGCATGTGAGAATTTGACATTTTTGAAGTTTTGTGTCACGGCTTAGTGTGTATACCCGTGTCAATTTGTAGCTGCATCTTCATTCAGCACAATACAAACATGTCTCTTGTATTATAAGGCATTTTATTGATTTATGAGAGCTCCTTTCTTTGTAAATTGTCAACAATTATTAGAATTCAGATCAGACTCGGTGTAAATATTTATATTCCAAACTTATTATAGACATTCTGGACAGCAGCTATAATGGGACAAGAGGATCCATGCTGATCAAGGTCTAAATACAACGACGAGTTATGAAATGTTTAGTTTTACAAAAGCAATTGTGTCATTTTCTATTTTTTATAATCAAAATAACAAAAATGATCAATAACTATTTAATAATGTGTGTTCATTTGATGCCAGCAGTTTTTTTTTTTTTTTTTTCAAAAAAATGGACTGTTGCTGTTATTCTTTAATGTGGTTTGAGGGAAACTTTGTTGTTTTACGGTCTGAGAATGGAGCGCTCTGAGGTTCTGCTTGGTGACACTGGATCTTACTGCTGGATGATAATCTGGTTGTTCCGAGTCTGAGATTGTTTGTCTCATGTTTCTCACCCTGAATAAAATTTGATTCTAATCATAAAAACACAAATGCTATTACATTTCAAAATGAATGTCTTTAAAGAAAAACACTGAGTTTGATCTTTTAAAAACTTCTCTGGATTTTTTGGGTCATTTTAAAGCTTTTTTTTTCTCAGTTTTTGTGAAAACATTTGTTCTTTGCACAAGAGTGTTTTTTTAGTTAAACACACATACTTTTTATTTTCTGTTAAACTGACAAATATAGGTGGTTTTAGGTCCTGACATGTCATATTTTACTTAAATTAAATCATCTTTGTGACTTTTCACCAATAAATTTGACAGATTTGAACATTTTCCATTTAAATCTGTTGCATCCCACCTCCGAGGGTCTAATTTTGCGTATGCATTTTTGTTTCAAGGCCGTGGAGACCTCCAGCCTCAGCTGGACAGCGCCATGCAGGACATCAGCGATAAATACCTGCTGCTGGAGGAGACAGAGAAGCAGGCTGTACGGAAGGCGCTGGTCGAGGAACGAAGTCGTTTCTGCTGCTTTGTCTCCATGTTGCGGCCCGTCGTGGTCAGTGATGCATTAACATGCACTGATATTTTATGTAGTTTGTAGTTTCTGTGGTAAATGATTAGACGTTACAGGCGGCAGAATTACTGAAAACATCAAATCAAGCATAAAACGTTGCCTAAGAACGCTATTTCAGCCGAAAGCCTTGAAGTGCCTCCGACATGATGATATGTTGATGTTTGTCAGGATGAGGAGATGTCAATGCTGGGGGAGATCACCCACCTCCAGACTCTGACAGATGACCTGAAAGCTCTGACCATGGACCCACACAAGCTTCCAGCTTCCAGTGAGCAGGTACGGCATTCCGACAACGAAACGGTCCCGTTCCGTCAGAGCTGATCTCCTACTACTGCCGGCAGTGGTGAAAGAAGTACTTTTTATTTTTATTTTTTTTTTACTTAAGTAAAAGCACAGATGAAGGGGTTAAAAAAGTAATACACTTAGTATGCTTTTTCAAAGTAAAAGTGTCAAACGTACATTTAAATTGGAGTTGTGTGTGTAGAAGTGTGCTGTCAGACTGGGTAGGGGTCAGACAAAACACAAATGAAAGTACTTTTGTTTTTGAAACTTTTTCAGAATATGTAGTTTAATAGAAAGTACAGCTAATTGTTTTAAAGCACAGCAAAGTAAAAGTAAAAATTAGGCCTCAGGAAAACTTCTTAAAGCAACACTTAAGTTTCCTGTTTCTCCGTCCTGTTGGTTGAATGATAAATGACCTGCACTTGTATAGCGCCTCTCAGAGTAAGGACTCCAAAGCGCTTTACACTACAGTGCATCATTCATCCATTCACACACACATTCACACATTGATGGTGATGAGCTACAATGTAGCCACAGCTGCCCTGGGGCGCACTGACAGAGGCGAGGCTGCCGAGCACAGGCGCCACCGGTCCCTCTGACCACCACCAGCAGGCAAGGTGGGTTAAGTGTCTTGCCCAAGGACACAACAGCAGAATTCTCTGTCCGGAGCTGGGATCGAACCTGCAACCTTCCGGTTACTGAACAACCCGCTCAACCTGTTGAGCTGCTGCTGCCACAAGCTACTGCTTTGAAAGCAGAATTACAACTGTCGTAAATAACCCTGCCGTCGTCTGCTGCAGCTAGCGCTAACAACGATCTAACGCTAACATGAGCCGACTGATACTAAAACTGTCGGTGTTGCGCCGTCCTCGGGTAAAAACTCAGCGCTGCATTTGAATTTAAATCTGCCATCGGGCTATGAGGTACACTATGACGTTAGCTGGTACATTATGATGTCACAATGTCGTTATGAGCCTGTGTGTGTATTTGTTAGTGGCTCTGCCCTCTCGGTCTGCCAGGCAACATCATTTGTTGCATTTTTCAAAAAGGAAGCGGGAGAGGAGTATGCCTGATGGGGGGTGGCTTGCTCTTTAAGTAAAGTACAGATACAGAACAATTGTACTCAAGTACAAAATGAAGTAATTGTACTTTGTTACATTTCATAATCGACTGTTGGATTTTTTAATAAAATTGTTTTGGATTTTTGCAATTTCTTTGTATTATTGTTTTATTAATATTTTATTTTAATCAGCGTTTTTTTTTCTGTACAAACTGCTTTCTGTTGAAAATTCAAAATGACCGGAGTAACCGAGTGTAAGAATTTGGTGAGAGGTCTATTCGTGTGAGATGTTTAAATTTACAGTCAGTTGAAGAATGGATCCAACTGGAGCTCCACAGTTTGTGGATGCAGATATTCCCATTTCTCATTCTCCAGAGTCAGTCTGTTTGACGGAGCTTTAAGCCAACTAACAGATGGTTATCCTACACTTACTCTGACACAGTTTCTGCCTACTGTGGATAAATGGGTTGGCCAAACCTGTGTGATGGTTGGGTAAAGAAATGATGAATCTCTGTAAGCAGCTTTTTTAAAAGGAAAGCCTTTAATAATCAAAAATACTTCTTTTACAACCTTTAAATCATATCATTTAATTATAAAGTCATGCTTACTTGATGGGATTAATAAAATGATTACATGTTTGATTTAATAAAAAAATTATAAGGGCATATGTGCTTAATTATACTTTAAAAGATATAAAATAATTGTACGGTCTACAGCTCATGGTGAACAGTGCGGAAAAACTTTAAAAACGGTTTCATTATCTTTTGGTGATTTTTCTCCATCTTCTGAGTTGTATTTGTTTAATAACTAGACGTTATCGCACAGAAGAGCACATTTTCCTATAGTCCACCTTTGTTTTATCTCTTTTTAGGTCATTGTAGACCTGAAGGGCTCAGAGTGCACCTGGTCTTACCAGACTCCGCCCTCTTCACCGAGCACCACCGTATCCAGGAAGTCTAGCATGTGCAGGTTTGTTACTGTGACTGACTTGCATTCAGCCTGATTTGTAGAAGAAAAAGAAAAGATATTTTCTATAGCGCCTCTCAAGATAAAAATCACGAGGCTCTTCACAAAGTTTCAATCGTTTCAAATCATTTTTCCATCAGGCGTTTGGGTTTTTATTTGTTTTTACAAATCTTTGATTTTTAGTTTCATCCTGTACTTTTTGCTTTGCTACAATCAGATTTGGATTTGTTGGCAGCAGGAAAATGTGTCATCTGAGCAAATCAACTGATCATTTGTTTTCTCCTGCCTCCTTGTGGTGCATAAGTGGAACTGCACGCTTTTGTTGTAATCACCTGGAAAGCATGGGTTCCTTAAAAATGAGTTATTCGAATGTTTTGTAATGTAGCAGAACCCTTCTTTGTGTTTCTGTTAGATAAACATCATGCAGGAAATGAAATCAGTTCAGAGCTGAGTTTTAGATCTCGGGGAGGGGTTTAGTAGAGCTGATGTTGATCTGGCACGAGTCGTTGATTCTGCTCTGGTTTCAGACTTGGATGACTCGTTGGCTGTTTTTAGACTAAAGTAGCTCCTGAGTAAATCTCTCTAACGTTCTCTTAACCCTCGCACTGTCCTAATGGGTGACCCCGCCAGGAAAGTTGAGCAGGGTTGATGGTTTATCCCATGGGTCCACGTGGCAGGGGTGAGGAGGTCAACTTTCCTGGTGGGCTCACCCATTAGGACAGTGCGAGGGCTAAGGGCAGCGCAGAAAAGCTGGTGCTTTGTTTTCAGGTTTAGATTAATAAAAACAAACAGTTGCTCTGACGTGGCTGCGCCGTTATTGTAACGTTTATTTTTCTCCTCCGTCACGCAGCAGTCTCAACAGCGTGAACAGCAGCGACTCTCGCTCCAGCGGCTCCCACTCCCACTCCCCCACCTCCCATTTCCGTTACCGCGCCTCCTCCTCCTCTTCTTCCTCGGTGCTTCCACAGCAGACGCCGGCCCGCCTGTCCTCGGTCTCCTCCCACGACTCTGGCTTCATGTCCCAGGATGCCTTCCAGTCCAAATCCCCATCACCGATGCCCCCAGAAAACTTGCAGGTACCACTCGGTGGTTACATTGAGTTATTGCTCACATCGTCATCCCTCCATCTATCTTACTATGTGGTGTGTGTAATGAGGTGTGTGTTCATGCCTAAACTGCCCGGCTACAGTATTTTTATTGGCCCCTGCATATGTGTTTAGTGCTTTGGGTCAGCGTGGAGAAACTGGGATGATCTTTGATTTGTATGATTTAAAGACCCTTTAAAGTCTGAGAAATACTAAACCAAAGCATGTTTCCACTACATGATCTAAAATGAGTTTGATAAATCAGTATTTTATGATGAAATCCTTGGTAAAAGTTGACATACGTCCAGGTATCATTTGGGTTTTCGCTCCACCATTTGCTACCTGTTCTTACTAAATGTCTTTTTGTAATCCGTGACCTTCAGTAGTTTTTTTCATGCTTCCTGTTTTTGTTGCACACCTTGTCCGTGCGTTCTGCAAGCTGTCGTCTCATTTTCTGTGTTTGTGTTGTGTGCTTTGCTCTGCTGCAGTTGTGTGTCTCTGCTTTGTTCTCTCAGTCTGTCAATGAGGAGGCATCCTCTTCCTCTTCTTCTTCCTCATCCCCCTCACACACCGAGCCCAGCTCCGGGCAGCAACAGGTGAACAGAGTCGTGTGAAAACACACACAGATGTTTGCTGATATCTTGTACGTTGCATTAAATGATGTTTGATTGTTTTTACCAGATTTACACAAACAAAAAAGTATTTTTTCATTCATGTCTTGTTTTATATCAAGTCATAAGCCATCTTTAATGTTCCCTTGTTTCTGCCTCTTCTTCACCCGCTCACCTTCAGTTGTCAAACGGCTTTGATCATCACGCTGCCCTCTGTCTGCACGGAGTGGTGTTACAGGCCCAGGATACTCACCTCCACCCCTCATACTTCACCTACTCCTCTTCCTCCACCACCACCTCTCCCATATCCTCGCCCTCTTATCAGTCTGTCTCTCCCACGTGGCCGCAGCCTCAATCAGGCCTCGGCCAATCAGGAGAGTTCCCGCCTCTCAGCCCATCAGGGGTCGGAGTGATCCCCTCATCCAGAATCCCATCCTGGAAGGTTTGACTCTCATTCTTCCACGATGTTTTCTCCTTTTACCTCCAGTTTCTCCTTTCGTGTTCTCTCAACTCTTCATGTGTCAGTCTTTTATTTATTTATTTATTTATTTTTTCCTCACGTTTGGTTAATCAAGTCATGCACTTAAATAATTAAATTCCAACTATACAAATTTTACAGCTAATTTTTGTTGTTGTGTCCCCAAAAGCTGCACTACAAAGTAAACAAAGATCTGTTTATCTGCTTAAAGCCTGGTTTATGCTTCTCCGTCAGCTCCGCAAGGGACAGACACGCACGGATTGACGGAAGCGTTTTGCTCTCATACTTCTCCGTCTCCTGGAGAGTGTTGCAAAGCAATTGCCCGGCAGGACAACAGAGGGCGTAGCGCTGTTCTGTGGTATCCTGTCATGTATCGGTCCAAGACCGTGTGTTTATATTGTGTTTCTTTTATATAAGAGACTTTTAACACGGTCATATTTGTCTCTCATTCTCCTCCACTTCATGCGCTTGCCACCTCTAAAGACACGTTTCCTGTCATTTCCGTCCACAAATAAAACGCTTGCTGCGCATCTTTTCACTCCTCCAGTCATGGGGGAATTAAACGTTCATGTTTTTAGAGTTTTTTCGCGAGGTATTCTTCAAGCTGCTCCGTGTCTGCCTCTAGTTATCCTCGGCTCTCTATGTTTTTGAGGGCGTAATGGCGGAGCTGTAAACAGCAGCGTCCTGACCAATCACAAGCTTGCGTAATCCGTCTCGTTCGACGGATGTTTAAAAAAGTGGGCTCGACTCCGTACGTACTTGCGTGCCTGCCGGAGCCCTACGCAAGGACGGATAATGGTGTTGCGTGTCTCCGCACTGACGCAGACGGAGAAGCATAAATCAGGCTTGAGTTTGACATATCTTTCTTTAAAGACCTAGTTTACCATTTTTTTTAAAGCGATTGGTTCCTCTGAGTTTAAAGCTACAATCCAGAATTTTTTTTAAATCAGACAGCACCATCTAGAGGCTTTGGGTAATGCTGAACAATTGTTCAAATTGTATGAGGCTCTACGGGACGGGGAACGGACTTGGCAAAAAAAAAAAAACAGGAGGTAAACTCCAGATTGTAGCTTTAACATGCAAGCTAAACGTGAAAATAGTCTTCTGTCCCCATTTCCTGCATTAGCCTAGCCTAGTTAACTAGACCAAATTCTTGCTTTGCAAAGAATGGTCTAGGCATGCTCCATTGGAACCTCCGCAGATCCTACCAGGACTCTGGCTAGCCAATCACAGCTCTCTAGAGGGGTTTCAAACACATAAAGAGCTGTGATTGGTCCATAATGGTGGGCCAATCATAGTGCTCTATCTGCTTAGTGAACAAATCACAGAGCTTTATCCGCTTTGTGGGCCAATCAGGGCACTCTATACGCCTGGTGGGTGGGATGATGCAACAGAGTGAAACAAGAGTATGTCACATTCATTGTCCAGTGGAATGCGGAGATCATTTGAAAGACAACGGTAGAACCCGCCCCACAACCGAGAGCCATCAATGGAGCGTGGCCAGACTAAATAATACATTTATTTAGTCTGGCTTGCCAGGCTAGCGTTAGCCACCAAGAGAAGATAAACGGGGAAACGTTCTGATTAGGAAAGCATGACAGATCTACATCACCCTGTAAATTAGCATTCATGGACTCATCTTGGCTCACAACGGGGAAGGCTGTTGTTGGTTTAGTGTCCAGGAGAGAGCAGAGCACGTCTCGGCTTGTAAAATTGTAAAACACATTTTTACATTACTTTGGATTATGTGTTCCTGTGTAGGACTGGGCCAGACCGGGTCCTTATGACCAGCCGACGGTCAATACTCTAAGGAGGAGCAAGGACAGGAGAGAAACTACAGATCCCATCAACCACCATGGTGTTGATGTTACCACAGCAGGGGAGGAATCACTTGGGGTCAAAGGAGGCCACTCTCTGGCTTCCCCAAAGGTCCGGACACTCACTGAAAGAAATAAGTCCAAATATTAAAAGGAAAATGGGATAGTGGGTGCAGCTCTGGGTAAGGTTATTTCTATTTGTGTGTTTGTGTCAACATGCTTTTGAATTACCACTTACAGGGGGACAAAGAGGCCCACGAGGAGTTGGCCCGAGCACTGGCCCGAGGCCTCCAGCTGGACATCCACGGCTCTAGCAGGGACTCGCTGCAGGGCTCCAGTGGCTACAGTAGCCAGACCAACACACCCTGTTGCTCAGAGGACACCATCTCCTCACAAGGTAACACATGCATGGATCTAAAGGATGTTGCTAACTAAACTCATACTATGCAACTTTTATATTTTTAAATGATTTTCTTGAGCCAGTATGCGCTAAAATGACCTTTTACAGAGTTAATGAAATATCACTCAGACCCTAACCCCCCTCTGTGACCAGAATGCCACATTTACAACTTCAGAGTGCTGGTCTGGTCTGTTGAAGCTGACATACCTGGTGCTGCAGTCTGGTTCCAGTAAATTTCCTGCATGTTTTAGATCATGAATACAGCTGATTAGTTTGATTGACTTGTGAATCGCTCCTGTAGAAACTATTGTAGGCTGCGGAGACATTTCTGTAGTTAATGTTTTCAAAAGAGGAACGCAGAGCAAGGGGATAAGTTTTGCTTTTCGTTCTACTAAACTGACACTAGGGGATGCCAAACACAAGGAAAAATGCCAAGTGCGCTTTTAATAGTCTTGGATCATTTGCTCCTGAAGGTTGTTGATTCATATCAGTCCGGTCTGAGGCAGGCAGGAAGTTGTGGCTCCAAGCTGGTGTCAATTTTATAATTTTGACATCAAAGGAACGTGAGAGCAGGGACTTACTTTGTATTGCGTGCAAACAATTTTTTGTATATCAAACCAAATCCAAGGAGTTGGACAAATGATGGCTCCCCAGTGTCTGCTCCCAATGCAAGTTGTTAGTCCAGCCTTGAGCACTGCAGTGGGATTAGGATCCCATCACAAGTCTGGTGGTAGCAGGTGGTTTTGAGGTTGCATTGGGTGGGAGCTAGCCTTGAAATCTAGACAAACCACAACAGTAGCAAAAGATCTTATTCTGCCGGTCAGTCTAGCCACACTCCATCGTAGCCTCAGCAGGTCTAGCATTTGTCTGAACAATTTTGTGTCTAGCCAATCACAGCACTCTACGTTTGTGGGTCGAGCTTAGCGCCAGAGCTGTGACGGAGAAAAACAACAAAGATGAAGTCGGCTCAGGAACCGCGTTCATTTAACATGGCCGTGGAATCAACTTCGAATGATTTGGGAGATTTTCTTTGAGATATGAAAAGATGTACTTTAGTCGTTTATTTGAAAAAAGGATGTATTTGCATCTCCTTCTTCGACTGTGTGTGGCAGACTACCCCGTTGTCTGACTACCTCAGAAATGAATACGTCAAGTTTGTTGTTGTGATTGGTCCTAGCACTTTTCAATTGTGTGTCGAGTCAGTTTTAAAGAGACCTGAGGATTCTGCTCTAAAACTGAGCTGTCTATGGGCCATGGCTAGACCTTATATTTACATGTATAGGCTTTCCAGGATAGGCAGGAGGCGGTGGTCTAAGAAAAAATGGTAGGTCCTGAATTTGCTTGAAAATTGAGGCACCGATAGTATTTAAAATAGTACGGTTAGTGAAACAGCAGGAAAATAAATAAATCCAGTTTTGATTGCAGTGGCAGCTGATGAAACTAATGTAGTTTGTAAATGTTAGATGAGATGTCCCAAAACATTTTTCTTTATACTTCAGTGTCCGACTGTGACTACTACATCAGTGTGGATCACGAGTCTGAGCAGCAGCACCAGCAGTCTGATTTTGATAAGTCCTCGACTATCCCGAGGAACAGCGACATCTGCCAGTCTTACCGCCGCATGTTCCAATCCAAACGCCCCGCTTCCACTGCTGGTCTGCCCTCCAACCCTCCAGCTATCGTCACCCCGGGGGTTGCTACAATTCGACGAACTCCTTCCTCCAAACCGAACTTGCGACGGCCCTCTGGAGGCCTCAGCCTGGGCCCTATTCCCATCAAACCACCCATGATCCCAGTCAAGACCCCCACTGTGCCTGAACATCCAGGTTTCCCTTTCAGGTCAGCGTCAGAAGATTGTACACCACCAAGGACCCCACTAAGCCCTTCAACTTCATTGTCACCAAAGTCCGTCACTTTGGAGATCCAGCGGCTGGACGAGGGATCAGACCCTCCCACCCCACCGCCACAGCCGAACATTCGTTTGTGTGACTGGGAGCGTCAACGTCTCCCTGAACTCCTGGAGGAGGCAGAATATTGTGAGGTGGAAGACTTCCTGGTGGCTATCCGTCGTGGCGTCAAGCTCAAGAAGGCAACAACCAATGACCGATCGGCACCACTGATCAGTCACTGAGACCACCTGGGCCAGTTTGACTTGATCCAGTTTCATGGACACAAGCTATGACAGCTAAGCTTTAGGGAACAAAAGCTACAAACTGAAATAAGTGCAAAAATTAGCGAAAGTTGCTTCGGGACTAATTTGGGATCAGCTCAGAAGTGTCTGAAGTAAATGTTTGCAGTGCCAAAAAGTAGCTGTATGCAAATCGTTTCAAGCGTGTTGCTTGTGCTAACGTGCAACGTATCGATACTGTTTAAGCTGACCAACGCTGGTCCAAGATTCTTCCCCCAAGGCAACTTCAGCAGGTAGAAGACGTGACAGGATACCACCTGTACATCAGTGGTTTGGTGGATAAAAGTGTAAAAGAAATGGAAAGAGGTAACTTAGATTATGAGCTAGGAGTTATGTCGTATTTTCAAAAGATCAAACGTGTTTGTATATATTTAGATTGACGTGTTTGTACGTTTCGTTAGCCATACGACCGTCTTATATCCCTGCTGTCTCCCATAACCACGAAATGTGCCAAAAGCCTCTGTGCCAGATTACAATCTATTTAAAACATTTTTCCTTTTATGTCCTAGCATAGGAGTGTTTGCCACAAAAACACACAGCTACAGAAATTTGTAGGATAGCAGATTGAAGAGAGTAATCTTGTATAGTTGATTTTTTTTCATGTTACACTTATTAACATGTTTATGCATGTTTTTGTTTATTTAGACTTTTTTTATTAAACACGAGCAAATAAAACTTACAATCCCCACCTGTGGTTGGAAATGGTAGCAGCAGGTCAAAATTATAGATGCTGTACAATTCATACCAACGAGTGTGTAAACTTTAAATTAAAAATATCCTTAGGTGCTGCTTGTATTTATTTCTGATTTTGTAATTTAGCTTAAATTCTTTAATTTTTCATTTGTTTTTCTATAAAAGCACTTTGAGCAATTCCAACCCTAAAAACAAAGTCACAAATATTGCAACAAGGTCATTTATTTCAAACGGTGAACCTATAATGTGCCAATGTCTGTATGTGTTAACATACGGTTGAAGTCCATAGCACTCATAGAGCCTGTTGCTATTGCTCTGTGGTAATAGAAGTGGATTCATGTCTTGCTGTTCTAGTGAAGCCTTTGTGCTGAGGTAGCTGGCACTGGTGAGTCTGGTTTTAGTGGGGAAAACGTGCTGCAGTTACCAGTTTTATTACGATATATACGGGAAAATGAAAATCACGATTATTTAAAGACAATCAGACAAGAATTCATATTCAAGTTCTGACGCTAAGCCAGTTTAGCCCGCTTATTAATGTCTTGATGTATATCTGGTTTAAAGTAGCAGCAATAGCTGGATGTCAAAGTTTAAATTAGAATATGAAAAATTCATCTTTCTGACGTGAATATGTGATGGATGTAATGTTCTGGTTGTTCACTCGGATAAATATCCCATAAATGAGCAGCGGCACCTGATTCTGCAGTCCATCATATACAAATATCACACATTTACTCTAAACTCTGCTGTTTTGAGTCGAAGCATCTAAACGTTAGACCAGTTTTGGTGAGCTACTTTACAATTAATTTAGATACAATCTCATCTGTAGGGAAACTCTGGGTCAAGTTTGCAGTCTGTAGCTTTTGCAAAGGTTTATAAATTAGTGTTTGCATGAATTAATTTGACTTTTAGTTGTTTTAGTCATGTAGCCATTATCCATCCAGCCCAAACACCAGAAGGTTTGGATTATTTTCATATTTGTACGTTATACCAGTTTCTATTTTCCTCTAAAACTTTTTACAGCAAAAAAACACCATTCAAATATAAAATATGCATGTTTTTTTTCTTCTTTCTAGTTTAAATCTGTAATGGTCCACTTTTTTTTTAAATTGGGACACACCTGCTTAGTGGATCTTACTCCAAAGGATGTCCATCCCATGACATTTTCTACATGGATCATAGATGTGTTATTTTGTGACTGCAGTCTGTCATCCTGTTGCACTTCTGTAGTCCAGTGCAGGTTAAAATAAAACAACCCAACATGAGCAGCTGATGCGATAACAAGCGTGTGAAGCTGAATGAGCCTGTGATGACCAACTTTGGGAGAAATCATAGTGAGGATTAGATGAATTACATCCAGTTATTCTGCTTGACATCTTGTATCTGACCAGAAATGATGTGTAATTAAAGATATTTACTCAATTGGATCAAACACTTGTCCACATTACTGTGTATTTAGAGGCCGTTTCGGACAGCTGTGAGCATCTCTTTACCTTTAAAGTTCGTCTTTGACACAAGTTGCTTTTATTATGTTAAATATCCATCTGGACTAATTTCTAGTACGTTCAAGAACCCATGGTATCTTTTTGTTTTACTCTAATATCGGGTGAAAGCTAGGTAACATTGAGCTAACAATGCTAACAGTGAATATTAATCACTCTGTTCTAATAAATCACAAGCTAATTTAACAATTACCAACAAAGGCATATAACAGTGAAGTGTATCTATCGACTTAACACGTCATCAAGAATCAGTGTTATGGTGGCAGCCATGAAGCTCACTAATGGGAGGGGGAATAGAGTGCACTTGTTTGTTTAGAAACATGGACTGCAGTACCCAAATTTGACCACAGGATGTCATTCATGTACCTTTAATATGCAAAAATCTAGAATTAAACTCGGAGGAAAACATGAAAAAGTAGCTGCCAATTAGCATTTGTAGTTTTTTTGTTCTTGATTTGGTGTAACCACGAGAATGATGCTCACATGTCCCATGAGAAATGACTTCTTCGCCAGATTTAACTGATGTATTTCCACGTGATTTCATCTAATCATACGGATGTAAACATTTCTACTGTTAATTCAGATGATTAAAGTCCCCACAGGCCTTTAAACTCAAAGAGGAAAAGAAGCATCTGCGTTTGGTTTCGGTTTGTGACCATGCACCAGCAGCGGTTTAAATCAGTGGTTCACAAAGTAGGAATTGGGACTTGAGATGATCTCCAGAATCAGGTAAAAGTTAAAAATATTCCTAATACAATATTTATGCTACATTTGATGTAAAAGCTAAAAAAATAATAGCCATACATTCATATAACTAGAATAAGCCATTTTTGAGCAATCAAGCCTTAAAGGTCAGAAGCAGAAATGTTTGAGAAGCACTTAACGACGAAATGTGTTCAAATTGCAGCATCCGACCCTCCAGGAGTGAGACTGTTTGATGCAGCTTGTAGGAATACCGTCAACCCTGAAAGACAGAGGATGTTTAATCTCCAATTAGTGTTTGTGATAACATTTACAATTTTACCTATTGCAAAATGCTTCCTGATTTCCTGTTAATGGACAATTAGCCCCTATGTTAAACAGAACTGATGAGCTAATAGCTAGGCTGAGCACTGGCAAGACCATAATCATAACCTCTTAAAGAAAAAAAAAAATACGTTTGGCTATTAAAGAGTAGTAGACTCTCAAACATGAACAAAATAAAAATTTACCAAGATTTTGCCAAACTTCCCCCTAAAAAGTTTAAATTTAAACCTAAAGTTAATATGAAGCATCTCTAAATAATAAAAAATTAAGTTGAGAATAAAACTTTGTGCAAAAAGTCAATGTCCACATATGTTTACAGTTGTGCACAAATAAGATAAAAATAAACTTTATAAAGAAAAGACAGAAGTAAACGTTCCATATTTATTATATCACTTCATGTCACAATTCAGCAAAATGCAAACAGACAGGATTTTTGTTCAAACATACAAGTGCTGGATCTGACTGTCCACAAGGTGGCAGCACAACGCCACGAGGAGAAGGCTGACAAATTCCATTTCATTTGCTTAAAGTTTTTTCTTGCTGTAAACTAAATTTTATTCATCCTCAAAGAAAACAGATCAGGTTGTTCATGCTGACAAACAGAAAACTACTTTATTAACTACTTATTGCCAAATAACCACATGATCCAAACCGAAAGTACATTGTTCATTCTCCTTCAGGGAAGAAAACAGCTGATTTTCCTCCAGGTTTCCAGTTAATCCAAACATTTTAATTCCTTCGGGAGTTACGTTCACACTCAAACTTTCCTTTCAGCCCTTCGAGTCTTTCAGTTTTAAAAGATGAGCGCCGACCACCACAAAGATACAACCTGTTCAATAAAAGCAGCATCATTCCTGTGGATGTCTGCTCTACTTCCAACATAAAGTGTGAGGTTAAAATATTCTGAGACCAACAGCTTGGATCTTGTAGTTTAATCCTAGATTCATCATTTCCCTCAAACCTCTGATGTGCAAGTACAGCAGAAACGCCCTGGATGACATAATCAATGCCACGGTTCTTGCGTCAGCTTTTGGCCTGAGCAGTCGACAGAATTCATCACCGCTACAGATCAGATCACATGATCAGACAACCAGCAGTAGTTCCTGTTGGACTCATTTATGATCTAAAACATTAATAATGGTTATTTGTTTAACCGCACATTAAAATCCTGCTTTCTGCTTTTGAAATGACATTGTTCTGCTATAGTTTAGCACAGAGGCATGATTCTTGGTATTTTATAAGATAAAGATTTGTAATAATACTTGTTGGTTTCGTCTCATTCAGACTAAACACACAGCTCAGGATCCATTAGACATCAAACCTTCTATTCGCATTTTTCACCACTTTCATATATTTGCATAAATCAGTTCTACTGGTAATCCTTCACATTTAACTGGTTTATGGATAAAGATGTCGTGGGAAAAATGCTTTTTATTCATTGCCAGAAAGTTGCATTCTGGGAGATGTCCTATTTCCATCTGCTGATGAATTTGAGTGCTAATAGACCCCTCACAGGTGTGCTGATGTGTGAGACACCAAGACAGACACGCTTCTTTTCTTTGCATAAATGTTTCTGACTACATCATCGCAACCATCTGGAGCTTCATGTGTGATAACACAAACAAAAACAGTAATAACAATGAACACAGATGGTGGGACGAAAGTGTGAAACAAGCAGATTTAGAACCATGAAAATTAAAAAGCCTAAACTGGAAACAACTTCAGTTTGTAACTTGTGTGCACGGCCACTGAACGCCTCCTTCCTTATTTCAAGCCACGCAAAACATCAAAGGATGCTTAAGCATCCAATTAAAACCAAACTGATAAAGATTCACTGACTTTATAGCTACATCAGGCCTTCATGCATTAAAACAGCAACAATAATCCTGGAGGTAGCAGACGAGGCTTTTCCCGTTTCATTTCTAGGAAGTTTAAGGATGCTCTGATTCACTTTTAAAGTGATGACATCACAGGTGTCCCGTGAGTAAATAGTGTTTGAGATGAAGTCGTTAAATATATAAAGTTAGTGCTAAAGGATAATTCATCATCTAATGTGCTTTTCCTTTAAATAAGAGTAGAAAGCATCACGAGTCGACCCATCTGATCAACAGAAGTAAAAAGTGCACCTTCTGCTTCTGACGCTGCGTTAGAAAACACACCAGATGCTGTTGGAAGCGCTCAGTTCCTGCAGCCAGAAGGATCAGTAGAGAATGGAATCAGGTACAGGTGAGTGTTTTCTATCTTTAAAGCTACTCAGGCGGCTTCCACGAGACGTCTGTGCTTCACGAAGGTCGGACGTTCCATTAAACTGGAGACTGATCGTATATCTTTAGCATTAAATAAGGAAGTGTTATAACACAGTTTCTGTCTGGAACAACAGATCCGTGTGGAATAACTTACTTGGACTTGTTTTGCAAATAACACCAGAGTGAAGAGGAACTAAGGGCAACAGTCCACCACTAAAATGTCTGATTTTAGCAGGAGATCCTGTCTTCTTCCACAGGTGCTTATGAGATTTCTCCTCCTTTCTGTCGTTCTGGGACTAGAGGAACATCACAGAAGCTGCCCTTCCGTTCCCACCTGTACATTTAGCCGTTTTTATTTAAATAAAGAGTATTTTAGTTTTTTTAATGACATTATGTAAATCAGTCTCCTTCACCAAAGACCTGGTTCTTCAGGAAACACCAGTTTTTTTTAACCAACCACTAAAGTGCAAAGGAGAAATGTTCAGCAGCTGCATAGATATCTATTAAGTGTTTATAGGGGCACGCTTGCTAGCTCTGGTAACAAATACAGGCTGCCATGTCTGAAAGAAAGAGGAAAATCCTAAAACGTTAAAGTTAGACCTAGACTGCTAACTCATCTCGTCCCAGGTCTACACTTGGTACTAAAACCGAAAGATAAAAGTAGTGACAAATCTAACTTGGTTCAGGGGTTTGCTGAAGAGTTTAGCTGCTAAGTCCAGGTGACTCCTAACTACATTTTAGTGCTTTGCTTTTAATATTCAAGCAAAAAAATAACAAGAGTTTTTCATCTAACAACTACAGAAAAACAAACTCGACCAAGAACTGTCAGCATCGCTCACTCAGGACTCGACGGAGAAATCAATAAACAGCAGGAGTGACGAGATTAAACAGCCATTTTTCTTGGATAAAAATAAAAGTACAACCTTTGCAACTGGAGAGAATCGATAGACGGAGCGATTCAAGTCCTTTGTGTTGAAACCAAAGCTGTGTTAAAGGCTTAGAAAGGTCTAGGTGTGGAAGCCGCCTGAGCGGGGTGACAGAGGAGCTGCCATGGGTGAATACTTTTCTGTAATGTTGACTTGAGCAGTTTGAGATGAGAGGGATGTAGTGGCTTGTTAGGATGCCGTGTCACTGCCGGGCTGTGCTTCCTCATCCTCATCGTCACTGTTGAGGAAAAGCAGAGGAAACATCCCCAGGATGCAGCCGATGGACACGCCAATCGCCTTACCCTGCAGCAGAACAAGAGCGTCAGCCTCCCCAAGATCACAAAATCACAGGAGAATTGCAAGACCACGTGTGATTTTGCCAGGTCACACGATAACAAAGGAGAAAGATGGCAACATGCATCCTAAAGGTCTTTCTTTACCTCCATCCATGAGCTGTCACAGGTAATATATGTTTTAGTTAAGCCAGTGGTTCCTAAGTGGTTTCTGCTGGGCCCACTTCTGTTGCAAACCCTTTTTTTGCTGAGTTCTGTAAGCGTAGCGCTTAAAATATAAACCCAGGGTGTACATTTGGGGCAGCACTGCAACACTTTGTCTAGTCACCTAAAAACACCTCCTCCGCTTGGCGTTTCCAGAACAAGCTTGATTTTGGCCCTCTTATGTTGAATTTATTTTACAGTTTTCATTGGTTCACTCAATCCAGTGTTTTACACATTTGTCCTGTACCAGAATGTTTCATCCATTTTGTAATTTGTAATTTCAATTGCTTTTATTGTTGATTTATTCAATATATTTATCTACAACTGAACCATGTTCAGCGCTTTGGGCTTCCTGCCAGGGTTGCGGAAGGCGCTTTATAAATAAAGCTTTGATTGATTGGGTATGTCAAATCTGTTCCCATTTATAACAAACCCAATGATCAGAGCAGAGGCCATTAGCTGTGTTTTATGTTTCGCAGATGCTATCCACCGTTTAGACGTCTGATGGAAAGACTAGGTAAGAGTTCAGGTTTAATGGGAAAAAACAAATTCACTTATTTTTTCCAACACATCTGCGGTGGTCTCTCGTATAAATGAATGCCTGAAAAACGCTCTGGTGCTCCTGTTTCAGGTAGCAGAGGCGAGCCAGTGAAAAAAACACATCTACCACAAACTCCGTTGATGTTTTATCTCCACAAATAACACAAGCCTGAAGGAGTTCTGCCTTGTGGTGGAGTTGCTAATGCTAACGGTTAGCTTCTACTAGCTACGATGCGCTGTGCTCTTTCTTGGATGACAACAGCCTTCCTCATCACAAACTAATGGGCTCGACACACGGGAGGCGACAAACGAATGCGATCAGGGAAATTTGTCGCTGTCGCTTTTATCATCTGACACACGGGAGGCGACCCGCGGCAGCGGCCAGCGGCAAAGCCGTCTACGCGTTCTGTTCCAGGGCGAAATCGAAACTTCCGTTGTTTTGCTTGGCCGTGTCAGGTTGGAGGTAATTAAGGTTATTTAAGCGGTTCAGAGTTAATAAAGCGGTAGATATGATGTTTCACAAGGTGCTGCTAGAGTTATGTGAAATCTTACTTCTGATTTTACTATAAAACATAATAATAATCAACTTCTCCTCCTTGTTTGCTCGGAGATGTGCGGAGCATCCTGTCCGCTCATTGGTCAGTGAATGAAACCTCCGTTGGTTGGTCCTCGTCCGAGCGACAGCGATGAAAAGTTGAAAATGTTTCGACTTTCTGGGATCGCGTCGCTGGGTCGCCCGTGCACGACACGTGCACGAGCGCAAAATTTCACACGCACGTTTTTCTTGTTTCGCTTGGTAGGAGGGAGACCCGCGATTATCGCGTTGTCACGCATGTCTCATTGAAAATGAATGGAGGAGAGGCGATGTCGCCTCCCGTGTGTCGAGCCCATTAGGCGGGTGAGTCCGTGAATGCTACTGTGACATCATGATGTACAAATGTCTGGCTTTTCTTATCTGAGCGTTTCTATGTGTAACTTCTGGCACAGGAAGCAGGGGTAGAAGACAATTAGCATGTTTAGCCTGCACGTCAAACTCAGAGTGAACAATCATATTTTAAAAATAAGCGAGTGAACTTAGCATTTAAATGCAACAAAACAGTGAAGTTTTAAAACAGTCACACTAACATGTTAACTCAGCTGCCGGCAAACGTTTTCCTTTTCTCATTAGATGCATTTAGGATCCTTTCGCTTCACAAGAAACCAAGTCAGCAGTGAATCTGCTGACTCTCAGAGGTGACCTTCACCGTCTTTGGATTTATAATATAGAACACACGTTGAACCGAACAAAAATCGTACTTCTTCTGCTGAAGTTACTCTTCATGCTGACAGAAGAACAAGTTTTTAAACCGGAGTAGCAAACCTCACCATGTGAGAGCTGAGCCTGGTCTGCCACATGTCCACTTGTTTAGGTGTCAGATCTGGAACCTGCATCCCTAGTTTGGTAGCCAGAACCTCTACGTAACCTGCAAGACTACACACACACACACACGCACACGCACACACACACACACACACACACACGATTGCATATTTGTCCATTTTAACCAGCTTTATTTCCACAAGTTCTAAAAAAAATTCTCATGATGTTTAAGCTCTTCCCACTCGACTGCTTAAAGAGACAATGTGTAGTTTTTACTGTTAATCTCTGGAAATATCCATTGAACTGTTGTTGAAAATGAATTAAATGACGGTTGGCGGCTTTGTAACATAACCATAAAAATTGGGTGTAAAAACATGAGTGGGTCCAATTCTCTGGGCAACGCCATGTTAGATGCTTTAGCTTCCTTCTACGGGAGCCCATGAGGACAAAACACATTTACTGATTTGTAACAAACGATTATAAAACTTTCACCGTTCATAAATGTTTTACACATTTACCTCTTCACTCGTTGCCCGTGAGGTAAGGGAGTCTGATGTGCTTGTTGTTTAGCTGGAGGTTGCACTCCCAGGGATTTTTGACCCTAATGGGCATCCGTTGGTAAAGTCTTACTCAAACACAAAAATAACGCTTGCTTGCAATAATTTAGGTATGTAACCCCCCCATTGCCAGGGGAAATGCATATTGTCACTTTATTCCCTAATTACAGCCATTAATGTTGTACATTTTATATTAAATGACATTTCTTTTTTTATTTTTCTGTCAAACAAATCAATCCAGTTGTGTCTCCAAATGTCTGAGCTACTGAGGACTAGCAGGTCACTCTGGTCATTTTTAGGCAACTAAGGCTGACAAAAAAAAAGTCACTTTTTTTAAGGTGCAAAAACATTTTTATAAGAGGAACTATGTTTTATTTAAAACTCGTGTGTTGCCTTTTAATAAGGTTCTGTGACCTTAATGAATCTTAATGTAACTATTGTGATTAATAATAAAATATTATTTAAGGTAAATATAGCTGAACAAAATAATAGAAGATGCTTCAAAAAGCAACAAAACAGCCATTAAATGTGATTTTTAGGTAACAAATAATTAGAATTGTATATAGGAAGAGGGAAAACCCCCCACAGACTGATTAATTTATAAAAGCACTAGATGAAACTTTTGAACTTCATGAGACTTGACACACGCCACTCAATAGTCATTCCTGTGAGCCGGTTTTACGTGCTGCTTACCCGAGACCCGCCAGATCTGAAACCAAATTCCCCAGAGCCGCAGCTGCAGAAACACAGAGAGGAAAACACGTCGATTCCTGCTGCTTCCTCATGGAACAAAGAACACTTCATTTTTATGTGAGATTCACCGTTCTTCTCGCCAACATGGTGAATAAATAATGTCACTTTAACATTTACATTTCAATTCAAAGCAACCAACAAGAAAAAACCAACATGCAGAACATGCTAGTCCTTTTAAAGTCAGAAGAGGTGGTGAAGGACATCATTAATGTCAAAAATGAAATGCTTCCGGTTTTTTCCCTGGCTGAGGGATCCAATTAATCTCTCCGCTCTGATCTTTCAGTTTTCCTTTGTAAAAGTGTTGGTTTTACTCTCTCTGGTGAATCCGATTACATTGATCCCACGGTGGCAAGTTGGGCATTGATGGGAGCCATGACTGAAATCCAGATAATAATCAGGTTTTATTCTACATCATTATCCTGAAGCAGTAGCAACTAGAATCATATAACAAACATCTGCTCTCTGGTGTGTTGACTTCACAGATAAGAAAATGTCCTCAGGTACACATTTGTCTTCAGTTAACAGAATAATGTCGTAAACCTTTTGAAAGAAAACCTCTTTTGAAAGAGGAGTAAAGGAAGCCATTTATGTCCACTGTGAGCAACCATCTTTGAACAGAGGCGGTGGTTTACGACACCAACTGTCTGCCATCTATAATCCAGTTTTGAGATCCCTTCCCAGATGCCTCAACGCCCACGCATATCCTGGGCCATCTGACCTCAGGAATTCACATGATAGGGTGGGGCCAGGCTTCACAATGAGCTCACCCGAAACTCTGGCTGATTAGGACCCACACCCACCCTCACACCTTGGCTCATGTGTTTATGTAGAAGATCATCAGGGGGTCTTTTGTTCCCTCTTCGGGGGGAAACTCCCACTGGGTTTGAATCTGGGACTCTCCACCATTTGACCTTAGAACTGAAGAAGCCTCTCGGATGAGAGGTGAAATGTCTTCAAGCAACTCAAAGAAGTCCAGATGCTTTTCTTTCAAAGCTCCTTAAGCTGGGTGGACACTGTGCGACTTTTTCACTCGTAGCACTCAGCTTCAGCTCAAACTGTACGACTTCCTCGCAGGGCAGATCTCACGAGTCATGCGCTCACACTGTACGACCCAGTTCTCGGATGCGACCTGACTGCTCACACTGTACGTCTGGTAGCAACACGTCGGACCTAAAAATATGCTAAAAATAGCAGTTTTTACTCAACACGTCAGACTTTTTGGTCTTGTTTTGCCTGTTGTCCTTCGGGAGTGCTGCAGGAGGACACACAGGGATTTATGGGGGTTGGATGAGGAAAACGAAATAAAGAAAGTAAATCCGTGTTTTGTGATCAGTTTAATTTGACATGAACACGACAAACACGCTTTCGTGACAATCTTTGTGAGTAAAAAAACGTGTAGAAATAAAAACGAACAACGTGTGTTGTTAGGGAAACAGCGGGCGAGCGGTGTTGATGCAGGATTGCGCATGCGCCGTGAGCGGTTCTGATACTTTTTGGGTCGCAGCTGCTCGCAGCGCCGCTTCAACAGTGCAATACCCTCACGAGTGACGAGCAAAATATTAAACACGCCAGAAGTCTGTGCGACCTCACGATTGCCGATCGGCAGCTGGTCACGTGGTGTTAATCGCCTCTCGTAACCCCCTGTACACTACACGACGCTCAGCGCAAAACTCGCCCCGATCTTGTGGATTCTCGCACGAGTGGAAAATCGGCTCAAAAAAGTGAAAAAGTCGCACAGTGTACGCCCGGCTTTAGACTACAATGACCTGGATGACTGAGAACCTGCAGACACACTGATAAAAGATAACCAAGTGGAAACATTTCATGCTGTAGTTCTTTTTTTAAAACACAGAACAGTTTTGTTACCCGTTTTCCTGCTACGTTTCGTTTGCGGCTGCAAACTTTCTCAGGCTGACGCGTCAGAACGAAACTGTTCTGTGTTTTAAAAAAAAGAACTACAGCATGGAATTGGAAACGCGACACAGCAAGAACACACCTAAGAAATAGAAACATATAATTACATTTTTTAAATATTGTACAACATATTATTAATACTGGTTAAAACTAATAATTATTAAAAGTTAAAATTAATATATAATAAAATGTCATTTAATTAAAAGAGAAGGTAATAAAACACTGATAACATATACAAAAGACGGTAAAACTGGCTAAAATAGATCTAAATCAATTAAAAGCTATACTAAAAAGGTGAGTCTTGAGCCTGGCCTTAAAAACAAGAACACTCTCTACGTCTCTGAGGTCCTCTGGCAGACTGTTCCAGAGGTGAGGGCCATAAAACTGGAAGGATGCCTCGCCTTGGGAGCGTGTCCTGACTTTTGGAATGATGAGAAGATGGCTGCCAGAGGGGCGCAGGGACCGCAAAGTCTCGTATCTATGAAGCAGTTCTGAGAGATAAGAAGGCCCAAGACCATTAAGACATTTAAAAACCATTAAAAGAACCTTAAAATCGATCCTGAAACGTACAGGAAACCAATGCAGCTTGTATAAGACAGGTGTAATGTGCTACTGCCTCCTGGTCTTCGCCGGGACACAAGCTGCCAAATTTTGTAGGAGTTGTAAGCCTGAGGTACTCTTTCTGGGAAAACCAGAAAGCAGGGCATTACAGTAATCAGTTCTACTGGTGATAAAAGCGTCCATCAGCGTCTCTGTATCGGCCAGAGAGAGAAAGAGGCAGACTGTGGTGATGTTTTTCAAGTGATAAAAACCTATTTTTGTAATGTTCTTAATGTGGGGAATAAAAGTTAGCTCAGAGGATGAATTAAGAGTTAGGGACTGTAGATGTGGTAAAAGTTGGACAGTTTTCTTTATTTATTCAGCTACAGCCTTTAGAAAAATATAGTGCAGTGCTTGTAATGTCTACTTGGGAGTTACTTAGCGTATTACAGGACTATAAGATAGTTACAAACTTTTTAATGATGCCACTTATTTTTGTCATTTTTGTGCAAACAGGTAAAAGGTAAGGTATTCAAAAAGGCCGAGTATTTCTCATTACACACTTCTGACACCATCCTAACAGATGTTATGAATTCAATAGAAGATATGCTGGTTTAAGTAATTTGGTCTCTTTTCAAGTTCAAGTGTCCGGTTTTCAAGGCTAATTAAGGTTGATGTAGTCTGGATGGGGATTAGCTATTTGGCTAATTTAATCTGCAGGAGGCAGTGACCGACAGCACGAGCCGTTTTCAGCTCTGTCTTGTCAAATGCACCACGTACGTTACAAAAAAAGTTACTTTAAATATTCAACCGAAAAAGAGGCGAGCTGAAGAAGACCTAGGGAGTACTGAAGAAACATGAGCAACAGTGAAGCAAGCACAGCGAGATCTGTTACTGTCTGTGTGTGTGGATGAGCCGGAGCAGAGATTTGTGTGTAGGGAGGAGCGGGCGCTTCATGTGACTGGCCAATCACAGAGCATGAAGGCAGTCAGTTACCCAATGACAGGGTTTCCCTTACATAGGCGTAGCCGTGGCGGCCCGCCACGGCTGAAATCCCAACGCCACGCCTACAAGATCCCAAGTTTTTTTTTTTTCAGGCGCTGTTTCCCGAAGAAGCAGCGGGAACTACTATGTTGTCGCTTGTGATCACAACAGGTGGAGGAGCAGGCAGGGCAAGGTGAAGTTACAGCAGAAGTTACGGAGTTTAAAATTAGAAAGGTAGCAGTGGATATAATGCCTTTTGGTTTACATGTTTCAATAGCATTAAGATAAACGAGTGTTGACGATCTTGCCAGGTTTTCCTCCCCCCACCAGGCTAAGCATCACTTATTCATGTAAAATTAATTTTTTTTTCATGTCTGACTTTAACCACATCTAATACTGTATTACGGCGTGAGCGCAGCAGCGACAACTTAAGATCGATGTGTGAGCAGCCTGAGAGGTCGGGTGTTTTCATCTGAACCCTGAAAACCTCCAGCAGGCTACGCTGCACTATTGACGCGTTAGCGCGCGGCGCTAACAACTTAGCGACGTGACATGTCTCGGAGAAAGCGTAAAAACACGTTGGATGCTTCTTCTGAAGCAGGAATATAACACCGCTTCTTAAGCAGAGCACGACGTCGCCTCGGCTCGTTCACCCGACTGAGCTCGAATAACCCAGCACAGCCACTGGGTCGTTGTAGCTGCCCCGTGACTGCCTGATGGAAAACCAGCGGGCTTCATCAGACTCGTAAAGTTTCTTGTTTTTGCTGGGGACCCCCTGTATTTCACCGCTCCCTCCTGCAGTCTTCCCCTATTCAAATTTAAAATGATTCTGTTAAGTCCGTGTATCAATAGAAAAAATCTCTGCCTCTGCAGTAAATGTAGTCTCCAAATAATAAATAAGAGGTGCATTCATCTGTGTATCTCCTTCGATCTGCATTAGTGATATTCTCAGCACCAGAACAGTGAAGCAAAGAAACAGATTCCTGAGTTTGTTAGTAATTTTATTTATTAGGTGCATCTGACCTGTTCTATTTTTCTCTGAAATGAGATCAAATCAGTGCTTCTATGGGTTGTCTCCTCTCTGCACTAGAAAATTTTACTTTATTTAGAGACGTGTCATAATCTCTCCCCAAGCCCCCTTGTGTCAGTCACCACTTTTGTCTGTTCAGTCTTTTGCAACAATCTTCTGCCAACATGGCGGAAACATAGTTAGGTGACACAGGAGCAAAGGGTCAATAGATTGTAATGATGGAATCTAAAGGACTAGGACTGCCACTTTTGGATACCGTGACAGACTTTACTACCACCAACGCTATCCCACGGGATGAAGTGGTTTATCTAGACCATCAGTGCCATATTGCCCACATACACATCAGCATGTTTACACTGACAACAGATCAAAGTTTCAAAATAAACAATGCGAGCAAGCGGGAGTAAAACTAAAGGTGTGAACATTTTACAGATCAAAGTGTACCTTTGGAGAGTTACCAAATCACCAGTCAGCTCCTTTGTCCTCTACCTCTGAGGTTCTAATTTCAGCAAAGTCAGCTTTCAAACAATTCCATTTAATACGCAACATAAACAATGTGCAGCTTCTATAAATAATTAACACTGAACTGAATTTTCCCAAATGCAGGAGACAACTTACTGGAATATATCTAAGCTTATTTCTAACGGAATCTCTGGAGGCATAAAATGGAGAAAAATAACGCTTCAAGTAAAATCCACAAGGGTCTAGAACTCCTGATAGATGTCTTCAGTTTGAATTCCCTTCAATGAGGAACTGGTGACGGTGATGAGGTGAGACGGAAATGCAGTTTCGCCTCATCACCTGCACCGTGGACACAGATAGTGGACGACAGTGAAGGAATGGGAGTCAGTGACACAGTAAAACCCAGGAAAGCATCTCCTCCATTAAAACAGGAAATTAAATTGGACCTGTTAACTGGTTGGACTATGACAAAACAAATCGAAAGCAGTGCCTGGTGGATAAAGGCATCCGTAGAAAGCAATTGATCCAGAGCCTGCCTTCAGCCTCTGATTTGCACGATGCAGGGGAAATGGGAGCCAAGCATCCATGGAAACGGGATAATCTAGTACTGAAGAGAGGGAGAAGACAAGCTCTACTGCTTTTATGGCATTCACAGTGTAATAAAGACCCGAGCTGAGACCCAGAACAGGACCCATCATGACAGCAGACTGAATTGCAATAAACCTTTACTAAAATCTAGTAAAAGTGTATTAAATTCAGTTTCAGGCTAAATTTATACTGCTGGTTTCATTATCTGAGCTTTAGTTTTAAGAAAAATATTTGGTGAATTTACTGATGGGAGAAATGGTGACGTTTACAGACAAATATTGTGACCTTTCAGTCGAAATAAAAGCACTAAGACATGAAAGGATGTGATTTTTCTCAGATATGGGCTCAAATGAAAGTTATTTTTCCATGAAGAATTCAGAAGGCACATTTTGTACAGGAGATCTTGTGAGATTGGGTTATGTCCTCCAAGAAAACTTTTTAAATCAAAAGTTTTAAAGCAGTTCATAAGTCTGCATCAAAATCTCAAAGAATTTACATTTAGAAGCTACATTTCTTCAAATGGTGCTGTTGAAGACTGTTTATTTACCATATTTGAAGTGATTTAACATCTTTTTAAATATAAATTATTGAAAGTATTTAAATTTCAATTGAAGAAACACTTATTCTAACATTGTTAACCAAACACAAAACTATTGGATTTTTTGTGAAACTAACTGATCACCACTATTATCACTAGTTTATTAGAAAGACCATATCTTATCTATTTGGAACCATTCTGCTTCATCACCTGAGGATCGCTGAGAATGTTGATGTTTTTTAAGAGTAAGCCCAAGACTGATCTTTTTAGCTGCATCTCCTCACCCAACTCCTCTGTCCTCAGCATGTAGAGTTCATAAGCACAAAACCCTTTCATTTATTGATATTATTGTATTTTAGTGTGTGTGTGTGTGTGTGTGTGTGTGTGTGTGTGTGTGTGTGTGTGTGTGTGTGTGCGTGTAGGGAGTTCCAATTTCAATGGGATTTTTGTTTATTTTTGTATAGCACTTTGAGCTACTTTTTGTTTGGAAAAGTGCTTTATAAGTAAAATCTGATTGATTCATCATTGAAGACTCAATATTGCAATACTGAATAAGCAATACCGAAACACAAATGTATTTCTGACTTTGATTAAACTCTTAAGTCACAACTTTTGAGAATAGGTTACACAGAGATGCTGAAGAAGCTGTTACAGGTGCACCAGTTGAATCTAAGACAGTAGAAAGTAATGTTATTGTTTTATTTTCAACTGTTAATAAAATCTGGTTTAAAGATCAAATCGACACAAGTCGACTGTGTTCATGTTGGGATTGTGAGTCGCTTTGTTGCATTGAAAAGTGAAATGCATTTTATCTGCAGGGCGTCAAACCTGCTGTTGCAACTAGTGATGCACTGATATGAAATTTTTGGGCCGATACCGATATTAACCCTTTGATGCATGAATTATGAAATCTTCAACCATGATTTTTTTAATTCATCTTTAGGTGTGAATGAAACAAATTTCAACAAATATTTTTTGTAAAATTTTATAATTTACAAATAATTTATTTCATGTCCACCTCAGTGGACAGCGTGCAATCTGAACATGAAATGTGTTGGCTTGGCTTACCGAAGTCCAAATGGAGGGGCTCAAATGCAATAAAGTCTTCAACAGCTGTGCTTAATAGCAAAAATAAATAAATAACAATTTTGAGTACCTGTCCACTGTAGTGACCATTATGCATCAAAGGGTTAGCTCATTCACTGCCATTGACGACTAAAGTTGTCATTTTAAATCCAACCGTTCACTGCCAATGACGACTGAAGTCATCATTTGCATTTTTTTACTGTGTGGGCATCGGCTCGAGCCCCCGCACCGTGAGAACAAACATCTCAGCTCTAAAGCCGATCTTCATCCGCATACGTCACACGTGACGTGATCAGGAAGCAGAAAATCCATGTGTTAGGAGATCGTTTTGGGCCGTTCCTGTAAAAAAAGTGATGCACGAACCGGAAAAGCTACTGCTGATCACAATTCGACAACGGATTATGAAAGAACGGATAATGCTCGAAACACGCGGATTCTTCCTGATTTAAGAGGTGAGTCTCCGCTTTGTTTTGGTTGTTTTGGTGTCGACATCATGCTAGCGCGCAACGTTCTGTAACTCTTAAAAAAACCTGTAAAAACGGTGAGAAACGCTAGCAGCGAATGAGTTAAGATCACTGTTATGGTCGATAACAGATATTTGCCAATACCGATATACTGACATTAATGCGTCCAAAATCAGCAGATTTTGTATAGAATGAAAATGATTAAAGTTGAATTTGCATTATGTACACGCAACACACACATTTACGGTTCTGAGATGATTTCATTCACTGTTCACATGACTAAACAATCACACACACACACCCCCCACCCCCCCACCCCCACCCTCTGAAACAGGCAGGTATCTACTGCCCCCATCGCCAGGAAAAATACACACTGTCTTTATAAAATGCCTTTAAACTACTCGTATAATCTTCAGCACCAACCTTAACCCATTTAGTTACAGGAGGATAAAGAAATATCGATAATTTAAGGAAGTTGTTATTTTTCCACTAAAACAAAGAATCCTCAAACCTTTGGTGCAATTTCCAGAAGCTGAGTCATTACTGTCTTACAAGTGTCTCCTCCAGCCTGAGTCATTAAACCAAATCAGACTTGCTGAGGACCAGGAGGAGGACAGCTACAGCCTCGGGCACATTTTAATACCAGCTAATTAATTCACCCTTTTATTATTTATTTTTTGTTCCACACCACTGGTGGACTCTTAAAACTCTTAATTTGAACTAAATAAATTTTCTTTTTGCATTTGCTGACTTTAATTTTTCCTGAATACAATATGTGCTGATGGATAAGGTTTGCTTGTTTTCCTACAGGTCAGAAATATATATTAAAAAAATGACTTACTATAAATAAATGAATTACATGACCTAAATCAGATCTTGTCTCAAAACACATCTTTATATTTGTCCCAGAAAGCAAAATATATCATCAAATTCAAACGGTCTTGGTTGACTACTCGGTTATCGGGACTTTAGGACATATTCAGTAAGGAAGTACATTTAAATAGTGATGTGACTGTGCTGCGGGCTGTTTGATCTGTTCTTACCAGCCATGGTGGAGATTCCCAGAGTGACTCCAATGGAGAGCTCAATCTGTGTTCCCTGGAGAAGAAAAGAGAATCAGGTCTGACGTTACTCCTGACTACGGGAGGAAATTAGACTTTCATTGGAGTCCAGGAACTATTTTCTATAAAGAATAATTAAAGTGCGCTCACTGCTGCGATCATGATGGCGTTGTCCAGAAAACCAAATCCAACAAAAGGAATAGCATTGTGGAATAGCACTGGAAACAAATAAAAGAACAAATATAACAAACAATCTGTGTAGTTGTTTTCTGAATGACAATACTGAGGAAGGTTGAGTGATGTAGACAATACTGTCCATGCGATATTAGTCAGTCCAAAAAATTATGATGGGTGATATATTTAGACATTTGTGGGTCTGACACACACGGCATGGAGCAATCCATCCGTCCGTCCGTCCGTCCGTCCGTCCGTCCGTCCATCCATCGTCTGAACCCGCTTGTCCACATTGAACCCGCTTGTCCACATAGGGTCGCGGGGGGGCTGGTGCCTATCTCCAGCGGTCAATGGGCAATCAGGTGGGGTACACCCTGGACAGCGTGCCAGTCCCTCGCAGGGCAACACAGAGACACACACACACACACACACACACACACACACACACACACACACACACACACACACACACACACACACACACACACACACACACACACACACACACACACACACACACACACACCTAAGGACAATTTAGACAGACCAATCAACCCAACAGTCATGTTTTTGGACTGTGGGAGGAAGCCGGAGTCCCCGGAGAGAACCCACGTATGCACAGGGAGAACATGCAAACTCCATGCAGAAAGATCCCAGGCCGGGAAGCGAACCCAGGACCTTCTTGCAGCAAGGCAACAGCTCTAACCACTGCGCAGCCCTGGAGCAATCCACCAATCACAATAGTTCCTGATCAGCTTGCAGAAGCAGACCTTTAGAGGTCCTCAAGTTTGAGATTGTTGTTTTCCCAAATGAACTGGATTTTTTTTTCTTGTTTTAATTCTTGAATTATTGCAAGTAAACACAACTTATACAATTCAAAAATGGGTGCAGGCAGAAGCATAAGCTTATAACCCAAACCCCCAAACCATTTAAAACGTAAACTAAAATTTTAGAATAGCATACCAATACCATAATTTATACACCATTATTGAAATGTATGAGAATGCATTCAAATCCCCATTCTGGCTTTATAAACAAAAATAACCTTTAATATTTTATGCAGTTTTTTCATTGACTTGATTCATAATATTTAATCAGATTTGATTGAAACATACCCATCAACTTTAACATTGTTGAACAATATTTTTGCTCCTGATCTAATTTATTCCATACATCAACCCCAACACAAGAAATACAAATGGTAAATGGTAAATGGCCTGTATTTGATATAGCACCTTCTAGTCCTGGAACCCCCCCCAAGGCGCTTTACAACACAAACAGTAATTCACCCATTCACACACACATTCACACACTGGTGGGGATGAGCTACCATGTAGCCACAGCTGCCCTGGGGCGCACTGACAGAGGCGAGTCTGCCGACCACAGGCGCCACCGGTCCCTCCGACCACCACCAGCAGGCAAGGTGGGTTAAGTGTCTTGCCCAAGGACACAACGACAATGACAGACTGAGCGAGGCTCGAACCTGCAACCTTCCATTTACGGGGCGAGCACTTAACTCCTGTGCCACCGTTGCCCCCATTTTGGTCCTTACTTTAGGCTTCCTAAACATTTGATACCCTCTGAGATCATAAACACTCTCCCTGATCTGGAACGGATCCTGAATATGTTCTGGCATCATATTATTCATCACTTCATACATAAATTGTGCAGTTCTAAATGTAACAAATTCTCTTAACTTTAATACTTTTAAACAAATAATAAATAAATGCGTATGCTCTTTATGAGCTCTTTATGAGCTGCTTTATTTACAAGTCAAGTTGCTCTCTTTTGAATTATAAACAGTTTAAGTGGGTTTCATAGGTGTTTCCCCACACTTCAACACAATACATGAAATAAGGCAGAATTAAGGAACAATACAAAAGATATAAAGCTTTTTCATTTTAAAATTATTTAACTTAATAGATAACTGCTAATGATATAGATAACTTTGCTTTAATTGAGTCAATTTGCGGTTTCCAACTTAACTTTTGTCTATGGTTACTCCAAGAAATCTTATTTCACTCACTCTTTCAATTTCTGTGTTATTTTAAGATGTGTATCCACTATAATTGCACGATTAGTAAATAGGATGAATTTGGTTTTATTTAAATTTAAGGTTACTTTATTTAAATCAAACCCACACTTTAATGCATTTAATTATTTCTCAACTGTGTCCAATGTTATTAAATCATTCCCAAAACTTAGAACATTTGTATCATCTGCAAATAATACAAAATGTAGTGTTTTTGAAACTAAACATAAATCATTAATATAAAGAATAAATAACAAAGGACCTAACACTGACCCCTGTGGGATACCGGTGGTCACTGTCAGTAGTTGTGAATCAGTGTTGTTAATGTGGACGTTTTGGAGTCTGTTCTCTAAATAACTCTTAATCCAGTAAAAGGCCACACCCCTGATGCCATATCTACACAATTTTTTGATTAATAAGTCATGACTGACGGTATCAAAAGCTTTGGTCATGTCTAAGAAGACCCCAACAGCATACTGTTTGTTGTCAATTGCATCAGATATTTTCTCCACTAGATCAACAATTGCCAGAGAAGTTGTCCGATCACGTCTAAAACCATATTGCTGTTCAGAAAGAATATCATGATGCACAATAAAGTCATACAATCTTTTATGAAATATTGTTTCTAGTATTTTGGAGAATTGAGATCAAATAGAAATCGGTCTGTAATTAGAAATGTCATGTTTGTCTCCAGCCTTATAGATAGGGATGACTTCTGCAACCTTCATCCTTTCAGGAAATCTTCCTGATTAGAGAGACTGATTACAAATATGTTTAAGTGGTTTGGCTAATAATTTATTTTACAACAGACATATCAAATCCATGAAAATCTGCAGACTTTTTACTTTTTATCATTTTAACAAGTGTTATAACTTCATTTTCATTTATACCTTGAATAAATATAGTTTTATCTAAATTTGTTATTTTACTTACAGCATCAGCATCTAAATTAGTATTTGCTATATCCTTTGCCAAATTTGGCCCAATTTCAGTAAAATACTTAACTTTTTATATTTGATGCAATTAAAAGATTCTGGGCCACAAATGGTCTGAGCTACAATTACAGTACATGGGGCGGCACTTTTGACCCATCAGCCAATAGAAGATTTAGCATTGGCAGAGAGGGTAACCCTTGATTTGGTGGATCCGGTACAATGCTAATTAAATGTTAGAAGCCAATACGAAGATTTAAACGGAGTTTACATAGAAAAAGACGCATGTGAAGCACATTTTCAAGGCGTTCACCTGCACTGTTCACAGAGTAAAGGAATGAGTGTGTGCTCAACCATTTCTAAATATTCTCACTCAACTTTTCAGACTCTGGATGTTATGACTGTGACTTAAATTTTCTCTCATCGGATTGGATAATCTCTAGATAATCTCTGGTCCAACAGGTTCAGTTGGTGTTAACAGAAAAAATAACGTTCCTACACCAAAGTGCTAGCTGTATAAGTTTGCGTTTCTTTTGGTAAAACTAAAGTTTGTAAATTACCTGTATTAATGTATGTTTTTTTATGAAACATCTATCTGCCTGCATATTTTAAAATGATCAAACCACATGGAAAATACATTTTTATTTCCCCTTTCAATTTTTACAAATACAATTTAATCTGGGAAAGCTTGTGTTGAAAACAAGACTATTGTAAATGTTTCCCTTGCATCATTTCACACCATTTAACCAATTAAATTGCTGTGTCACCAAATGAAGCAGATGACCGATCAAAACTTCCACTTAAGTTTATTGAGTAAATCTACACTAAAATAAACAAAAACACCACCCCAAAGAAGGTCTGCGTACATCGCAACATCTCAGTGTGAGACTTTCTTCCAAAAATATCAAGCACATATGGTGTGTGTGTGTGTGTGTATGTGTGTGTGTGTGTGTGTGTGTGTGTGTGTGTGTGTGTGTGTGTGTGTGTGTGTGTGTGTTTGTGATAATAAAATATGCCAAATTGAAGCTCTCACCATATCTGATCTGGGCTGCAGTGGGTGGGGTTGGCTCCAGCGTCTCTGAGGAAAAAAGAAAGCATCAGAGTTTTACTCATTAACTGCTGAGGTTTGACCTTAGGGAGCTACAGCAACACAGGCTGCTCATCAAAGTCTATGCTGGCGCTCTATCTTTCCCACTCTTGAGTCCATGCTCCACGCTGATTACAGAAAGACCCCCACCGTAAAAACTCTGCTTTAGATCATTTATGATTTCTGTTTTCTTACATTCCACACTTCCCCAGACTTTGGAACAGTCTACCTTCAAATCTCCATCTCTCTAACACTGTAGAGGTCTTTAAAAATCATCTAAAAACTCACCTTTTCATCCAGGCGTTCCCTCCCTAAATATTTCAAAAAGATGGCTTTGTTCGGGTTCACACCTTCACTTTGTTTATACTCATGATTTTATTTTCTACTTTATCACTGCTATTGTTTTTCTGATGTTTTTATTGGTTACAGGTATTTGCCCTGATCTTTATCATGTTGTACAGCGCTTTGTGATTTATATCTGTGAAAGGCGCTATATAAATAAACTTTTACTTACTTACTTAAATAATTAGCTGAAACACACAGACATGCTTGTTTGTGCATCACATGCTCATGAAGCCAATTAGTGTTTGTAAAGGTTAGAAGACAACACACGAACTGAAGCGTGTTCGACTCCAGCAGTGAGTACATCCTAGCGAGTGTCTTGCCTAATTTTCATGTTCTACTTTCTCTTTCCTCTACTCCTCTCATCATATTTTGGTTTTCCCCTCATGAGACACAAATGGAGCAGAAAATGAGACAAGGATTTATTTAAATGAGACATACTTGCTTTGAAGCCTTTTTTAAACACGTGTCAATCAAATGTGTTGGTTTTGTCACAATTTGCTGTTGTTTCTTATGGAACTGAATATATTCAGGCAAGATTTCAAGACAGTGTGCCGTCCCTAACCTCTACATGCTGAAAACAATGGATCCATCTTCATTTTCCAGCTTTAATTCCTCGTCTCTGATCCAAGACATCCTTCAGTCAACAAACAATGTATACACTTAAATTTGAAGATTATGAGGAAGCCACTGGGAATTAACGACACCAGCTAAAATCTCTCATGACTGCTAAGTTAATCACTTACTGACATATCTAGGTGAAAAAGAGAAAGCAGGAGGCCAACAGTGCAGGATGAGGGCGCTTGTGTCAGATTTAACGTGCTCTACTGGGACCGTTACAACGCTCTTCCAAAAGGTCCGCTGGTAAGCAAAGGTTAAAGTCTGTTTTTAGTAGGGCTGCATGATATTAGGAAAACCTGCGATATTCGATAATTATGATTAATATTGCGATGACGATATTACTTACGATAAATGAAAACTTAACTCAGGAACAAAATTAATCAAAAACAAAGAAATAAAAAAAATCTAAAAATGAGAAAAGCTAAAGATGTGAGGAAAGGGAAAAAGGAAATAAACAAGAAAAAGCAATCAGTGGCCCCAGGGAAAAGCAGAATCAGCGAAAAGAGCAGACCAAAGCTAACTCAGGTGCATGCTAACCATCGAAATGAAGTGCTGCCCGCCTCGGGGGCGGACATCTGACCTATGAGAACCCACCCAATTGGCCAAATGGGTGAAGAGCTCCATTTCATTTGTTAAAAAAACATCATGCTTTCATTTGATTGACAGAATGCATTATGTGTAGCAAACATTTGAGCTGAACATTCAATACGATATTTATCTGTTCTTTGTGATATGCATTTGCAGATATCGCGATAACGATATATTTACGATATATTGTGCAGCCCTAGTTTTTAGAAATAAGAATCTTTTTTTAAAGCAGCTAGAAGCATCTCCGTCTCTCACTGACAAACACATGGAGTAAAATAGTTCTGCTTGCATTAGATTACTTGCTATTTAACTTTTGCTATCTGGATAATGGAAAGTTGATAAAACCAAAACACAAGATCCAAAACAATGAGACGGCTCACGTTTTACTATTTCTCTATTTGCTGGTGTTTGTCAGCAGCCTTTGGAAGGTCATTCAAAATTAATAAATGACAAAATATAACAAATTATTATAAATATGAAGCACTTCTGTCAGTGAGTCTTACACGAATGAATCTCTAAGTTCAGGACTTACACCTCTAGGAAATAATGATGGCGTTTCTTTTCTTTTTGATTCAAAAGACGAGATAAACTTTCTGAATATACAGAAAACTCTAAAAATACCTGCAGTTTAAATACGCAAACAAGTGTGTATATCGGGGATTGAACGGGTATTTAAAATGTTGTTAATTTGATCATTTATTGTGATTAAAGATGTTGGTTGTTTCCAGTCAGCTTAGGAGACAAATAAAGCATAAAACCAAAAAAAGAATCTAGAAACTAGAAATCAATATAGTGTCTAAAAAGAAATGACTCAGTACTTGTGTTTTTATACAGGAAAGGCTAACCATGAACCGTCCTCAACACGTCTGTAAAGCATTACGTTTAAGGGTCAAATAAGAGTCCATAATGATGCTTGAGTGAAGATTAGAAGCACGTTCCCAGATTCTTCAAGCCATGAGGCTGCAGCTCAGGTAAAGAACCAGGGGAAGAAAGTCATTACCGCTGTGGAAAAATTCTCAGGCGGATATTAAAATTCTGGCCACTCTTCACATTTCCATCAGTGTAAAAGAGGTTAATATATTTGTTTTTGGAGGTAATAATGTATCTTGTCAGGAAACCAAAGTGCTCATCAGAAATTGCAAATAACCACACCACCAGTAAATAGTTCAGATCTCTCTGTGATTGGAAATTCATTATGAAAACTGTGTGTGTTGGGGTGGGGGGTGGGGGGGTGTTTGTGTGTGTGTGTGTGTGGGGGGGGGGGTTAATGAAAAGCTAGCAATCAGCAAAACCAAGTCATGAGGAAGAGGTATTGACACCCATTTAATAAGATTATTCTTAATGACTGAAGTTCAGACCTTCAGAAATGAAAATGTTAGAAAACCTACAGATGAAACAAGAGTACTTGTTTATTATTAATCTTTATTAAATTTACTTCACATTTTATGTTAATGATTAGGTGTTTGGTCCACATCCTCCCGAAGCTGAGAATGTTTAACTTCTACCAGCTACATAAATGCCTGCTCCACCCATGGTTCCTACATATCCCCACATCTATTCCTGTAGGGAATGGTATACTCAGACTTCTACAAAGATCTGATCAGCACCCTCACGTTGCTAGGCAACAAATTCCCTTCCCTTCATTGTCCAGTTGTTGCTGCTTAGCAACAAGGAGGAAAATCCCCACCAACAACATAAATTTATCCATTTTCTAGACCCATTTGAATCTTTGGAGGGTGACTATCTTCAGGTGGGGTGCACACACACAACCACCCAGTCTCACCAATTAGCCTAACGTGCATGCTTTTGCACCATTCTGGTTGACAGCAGCACCTGCAAAAATACGGACACGCAACCATATTGCAGAATGTCCCCAAAAGGGAACCTGAGCCATTATGCAGAGTAGGGTTGTCACGGTATGAAAATTTAACCTCACGGTTATTGTGACCAAAATGATCACGGTTTTCGGTATTATCGCGGTATTTTTTTAAACGGTGTTGCATATGTTCAGAAAGCATTGATAGTCCTGTTCTACACAAACTGAAATAGTTTTGAAAAGGTTTAACAGTGTTTATTAAACCTAAAATAACACAAAGCCTTAGCAAAAGTGCAACTTTTCACAAGTAAAGGAACAAATAGCTTCTTTTTCTGGAACATGTTACAGTAGTCAGTGCAGGTTTAAATTATACAAATCCAAACATTCAAAACATAAACAATATGTAAACAAATCAAAGAAACACCACTTGTTTTACTTGTTTTCTTCATTATCAAAATGAAAATCTAAAACTCCAGTCCACACTTGACTTGAGCACTGTACAAGTCAACCTTAAAAAAAATATGTATTTAAAATAAATAGCCACTTTAAACAAATTACTAAAATAACTACTACACTATGTAATCAAATCCAAATGTTCAAGTATAAATGGCATTGAATAAGTAAACAAATCAATGACAAGGAACTAATTGTATATTTCTCTTCATCATCAACAAATAAGATGCTTCATCCAGCAACAGGGTGTCCGTGACACGGTTTAAATGCTGGCAGAGGACGCTGCGGCTGCAGTATATAGTGACTCGTTGTATTCTCCCTCAACCAAAAGTCCTCACGTCATGCATTTAAGCTAAAATGCTAATGTTAACTTACCTTGCACTGGCTGTAGAGACGTGGGTGATGGTCACGCAGATGTGCTGTTAGATTCGAAGTGTTGCTGCCTTTTGCAGTCACTTGTTTCCTGCACGTTCTGCAAACGGGATAGCCGTCTTCTATTAACTGTCCCTCAGCATTTTTCAGAAATCCAAAATATGCCCATACTTCCGATTTAGTCTTCTTTGAGGGCTGATGGATGTCCTGGGCGCTGCCGTCTCCTCCTTCGGCCATTATTTCAGCTTCAAAGTTTTGGTGCCGTTGCAAACTAAAAAGTGCGTGTGCGCGCCGCGGGAACTTCAGCTGAAGCGACGGTGGCTGGTAAGGGTCACCGCGCCGAAACCGCGGCCACGGTAAACCCACCGAGATAATTTAGTTTTTTAAAAACTGGACGGTTATTTTTATTGTCAACTTTTTTACCGGGGTTTACCGCTATACCGGTTACCGTGACAACCCTAATGCAGAGTAAAGAGGATTTTTGCTCAACAGCTGAAGGTTCGTCTCTGAGGATGCTCTAGCTACACTACTTTTGATTTTCAGGAGCCTGGATCTTTTGGTTTTGACTCCAACTTTGGGGACCATTGCCCTGGACCGTTTTAATCTCCCATCTAGCTCATCTGAGTTTTGAAAGAACAACTTCAGATGTCTCTGCAGTATTTCACTACTAATTAGGTTCTCAGCTCAAATCTACCACCTGCTTTTTAATTTCATTTTCTCTATTTTAGAGCAAAACAACAGTTGATTCTCCAGCTGGCAAGACACAGGCAGCTACCAGCCTTCACTGTTAAATATCAGA